GGAAACTGACGAGCGCAGCGGCCAATGGGAGCCCCGTCGACGCGCGCCAGTCAATGGAACTGAAAACGAAATCCATCAGCTTTACTTCGCTCCTTTGGAATCGGGGACACCAGGTGCCGTTTTCGCGCTTCAAATTGATGACGTCAGCTCGCTCGATGAGAGCTGACGTCATAAATTTAGTTAAAAGGCTACGGAAACAGAAACTGAAATATTCAAATTTCGTTCTGAAATGAGTCAAGCACGACGGATGATAGCCGTAAATGATAATCGCCCGTTTATATTTTGAACGACTGGCTGTATTTGTCGTTCCAAACGGTGCACTCGAGCAAGCGCTTGAATAGAAGCGAACGAAGAGCGCGATGCGTCGTGGGGGATATCCGGCGCAAACAAAAACAGAAAAAAAAAAAAAATATTCTCCGGATTTGTGACGTAGCAAGGCTGGCGTTGTTATGAGCTTTGCCCTTGGCGGGGTTGTCAGCGTTGTGGTGGTGTCAAATCAACCGAGCCGTTCGAAGTACCCGTGGGGTGACGAGCGCAAGGCTGGCATAAGGAGCACGTAGCTCCCACAGCACTGTCAGCTTAGGGGTGAACGGGGTGGGAAAGCAACTTTTGTCCGAGTTTTGAGCGACGGGCTAATCTTCTAGGGGAACAATGGCTCTGCCCGGGTGCACAAACGAGGGTTTGGTACAATGCGCGTTTTGTGAGTTGAGGAAAGCTATGAAGGAAAATGTTGAATTCCAAAGAGCGGCGCTGCTCCGATGGAACTTGCTGCTTCATGACTACGCAGCAAGTTCCCCAACGTTGCTAGATTACCTCCCAAATAGTCTCCCCATGCATCCACCAGGTGCACATTGAAAGATCGTTTAATTATCTTTAAAATTAGTTTTCTGTGCCTTTCAACAAAAGACTGGTATCTTCGAGGTTATGCTGCAACATGCAACACATTAAAGATATAAAAATGAGCGCTGGCGTTTTGTTTTCGTACCTCTTTAATGCTTTCGCATTAAAAAAAAAAAAAAAAAAAAAAAAAAAAAACGCGGTGGAAGGCGACAGAGAGCCTACTCGGCGCTGTTTACTTGATCTTTGTCTTTCGTATATTTGTACATGCCTTGCCCGTTTTTCTAGTGGTTCTAGTGACCGGTCATACAAAAAAATCGTGTTTTCTTTTCGGCTGTTCTCTCCTTCCTGATGTTTTCTATTTTGTTGAACTTGCTCTCTTTATGCTGCTGAATGTTCTGCTCATATTGCTTCAGTTACTTTATTATGCTCATATTTTTAAAAAGTAACGAGTAATTGAAGTAATCCGTTACTAATATTTTGTAACTAAATTACATTATAAATTACTTTAAAAAAAAGTAACGTGGCAATTACAAAATTACTTGAAAAAAATAACGAATTACTTCCCAAGTCTGGTTTTGAGTGCATAAATCTTGTCCAGTCTCGTAATTTATTATTTGCTGTTCTTTCTGTGCTTTTTTTTTACAATTTCTGCCCCCCCCCCCCCTCCCTTTACTCTAATGCCCGCTGCGCGATATAGGTGCAAATGAATAAAAATATTATATTACACCTGACTATACTCTCTGACTGACTGCGCGCACTGCTGTCAAGACCTTCCACGGGCAAGACAGCAAAGCCGCTTTTGTAGGCATTTTGAACGATGGCCCAATCTTCTGGGGCAAAAAACGCGAAGTCCGGGGCGCACAAAAGGGGGTCCGAGGAGCCCGAGTTCCTCCTTCCCCTTTTCTTCAACTGCTTGTGTTACGCTCCCTCCACCCTTCACCTTTGGTAATGGCTGTATCGTGCTTCGCCTCCGTCACTCTTATGGCTCGAAGAGGCCGTAGCTTTCGCGCTCTGTCCAGTTACGGTAAAACGAAGTAAACTATGAATTTGCAACGGTCATCGCCCTCTCCTCGATTTCCATTGCATCTTTTCTCAGCGGTAGAATGCGAAAGGCCAAAAACGCGGTCGAAAGGTACGCTGTGGCGTGTCGTTTTCAGCGCTCCTTCTGGCCGATGAGAGGCTTACGAAATGACTCGTGTATTGCAGCCACTGTGACGGTGACCTCCAAAGAGAAACCGTTGTTTCGCCGGTACACCCAATAAGGTGAAACCGCCGGGAAAATAAACTGCGCGTCGTGGTTTGTAAGTATTATTTTTGAATAAAGTGCGTTTTGCGACTTATTTGTCTTATCCTGGCAGTCAAAGGAAGTTTTCTGACTGTTTTGTTTGACGTTGCCGTACTACTCAAGACTCTGGTGCTTTTTTTTAAGGCGTAACTTAATGTTGCGGCCACGACGATCAAATTTGGCAGCCACGGTATATAATACTAGAGCTGAAGATGAGAAGAAAGATCGTTATCAGGCATAGGACAACGGCATAAACGCAGCTGGTCGGGAAAGAGCAACCAAGGTGCGGAGCTGCGAAATTATGTGGTATGCGGTTTACTGCACGGTGGTCCTTAGCGCTCTTAAATAATTCATGAAAGTATCATTAGGGTAAATAAACAGCTAAAGGTGATCACTGACGGCCTAAGAAGCACAGAGGGTTGTGGATACCAAGCATCTCATTATCGCTCAGCAACCAATCAGAATGCGGTATTATCCAATAAAAATGCCCAAGGACGAATCAACAAGCCATTGGAAGGTGAACACAATATTCCACGCCATGGGTTTCTCAGCGACAATAATTGTAGCACGTAAAACAAATAATGGGTGTTTGTGGTAAAATACATCCGTAGTTTTCGGATCGAAAAAATAAGCTAAGTTTTGCATACTTATTTAGAGGGTTTGCTCGTCACTTCCGGCCGCTGTGACGGGAGGAGAAAAATACTTAATATCCTCCTATGTGTGCTTAGGTGTGTGCGCAGCGACTCTTGTTTCACTAGCAAGCTGCAGTGCTCTGGAAATGCCCCAGCAACGTGATTTCTAAGTTACCGAAGCGTACCGGCGCTAACAAAAACGTCATAGCTGAAGTTATTTTGAATATCTCGAGGTGAGGGACGGCCACCGACGCCGCCAAGCCGAAGCGATCGCAGAACGACGACAGTGGCAGACAGTCCTAACCCAAATTCGATGTGCTGCCGACAAATGGCGCAACGCGACAAACGCGAGAACGCAGAGCCGGAGCACAGGCGCCTCGACGGAAACACTCCGTACAACGATCGACCATCACGGTACCTATAAATGCAAGGTGCACGGTGCTTTAGGAGAGACACCTTGAATATCAAAGCACGCAAGTAAAAACACTAAAAATTCTGCATTACTGAGAGTCGAGTCGCACTAAAGGAAGCGCAATAAAACCTTTCCGAGGATTGTTTTCTAAATTGAAGACCCGGCTGGCGAACCCTGTGGGGAAGCTCGCCGCGTATCTCCTGCTCCTGATGGAGGTAGTTACCCGTCGAAGATGCCTTGCCGTTCACGAAGTAGTTGAACACGTGTAGGGATTCGTAGGTTTAAAGTCGTACTCAGGTAGATGGACCAGGCGAGTCGAATAGCTATTCGCGGCTCCAACTAACTATAGGTGGCGCCAGTCATTTTCCAAAATGGCGGTTTTAGTGAGGGTCGGAGGTGTGTGTCGCTGTTGAGCCTGTCTAGTGTGCTGGCTTCACTGAGCGACACAAATTATTTCTGGTAATACGAGGAAGCTAGGGTGTTATGAGCGCAGGTCACCTCTTTAACCTAAGAAAAAGAGCGGTGTTTAGCGTAATATTTACTCAAGGATGCGCGTTTTAATTCTGGAGCGAAACAGAAACTAACCTCTTTTTGGGATTTAATTTTTCGATATAGGTCTTAATCTCGGCTTTTTTCATAACTCAAGATGTGTCTCACATCGTAATTATTTAGTTAGAGAAGTTGTTCGTGGAAACTTTATTTTGTGACGTACATGCTGATGCCAGGCTGATATTTGTAATTGTTGAAAAAGTCAGTGCTAATATTTTTGCGTTCTCACTGCCTTCTCTGGCGCAGATAATTATCATGGGAAATAATGAACCTTTAATGAGTGTTTGGGTATTTAGATGATTAATTGGTTGAACATTATTCCCAGCAACGCCTGACGTTTAAAACTTTATATTACATCCAGTGTTTGACTGTTTGTCTATCTTGATAACGATGGCGTTCATTGGGGGCATACATTGCCGCGATTTGTATTCATTATGATAATAATATTAAAATTCAGATATTTTAATAGGCAATTTTTCAAGCTCTAATATAATTTGTTGCTTATGATCTAATTTCAAACACGCGAACAAATATGACAATCAAGTGTGTTTATTATCATCACTGGTGCCGATTGCAGCATTTTTAATTACCAAGTAATAAAAATAGTTTAACATCAATTAAAACATTCTAGCTGACGAGATAAATCCACGTAAAATTACATTAATTGTGGGAAAAGTATATTTTGCTATCAAAGTCGCGACTTTTGACAATCGGCAAAACGTCCAAAATCGTCGCCAATATTCTTCCAAACCAAATGACCAAAAGTAAAAAAAAAGCACATTTTTTTAATTACTATTTTTTTATAACATTTAGTCGCTTTCATGTTTACGCTCTGTTGTTTTGCCAATCTCAGCCTTTCGAATTCGAAGGAACGCCTACCTGCTTGCATGCACTTCTGTTCACTGCAGGGCGTTTCGTGGGCGTTGGAAGCCGCTGAAGCATTAGTGAGTTGTAGTATGCGTATACGAGCGAACGAAAGCACTACGTGTTTTCGTTAGTTTTGCGTGTTCCACACTGCGCGTGCGCGGAGCCGAAAATTGCGGTCTTGGATACCGCATGGCGATAAGGCGCACGCGCCAACGTGGGGCACGCAACTCTAACGCAAACGCACACCACTTGCGTTTGCTTCTATGCGCAATACTAAAACTCTCCAGTAAGGTAGGATCCCGTACCGGCTGCAGCACTACGTTGGGAGAATAAATAAAGTGTGTCAGGGCATATTACATGAATATGTGTGTGTGTGTGTGCTTATTTTGTTTCCTACGATAATAAACTGCAACAATCGCGAGTGTACATATTTTATTGCAAGCAGCAAATTTCGCGGTCCCCATGTGGCTCACGAAGACGGAAAGGACGCCGACAGCCGACGTACAGGGTCTTCGAAGAGAAAGTGACGACGTCTTCGAAGAAACGTCAGACGAGAGGTCCCAGAGAGGCATTCTGGTTGGTGGAGCAGGGCATCCGGAACACGTTACTGTAGCTCCCGAACCACTTGTTGGCGACTGCACAACAAAATGAAACGCAGACTTCACGAAGGGTGAACGCAACCCAACGCATGACGGCACGCTTATTCGCTAGTACAATGCGCGGAAGCCCCACTAAAATATATATTGGGTTCAATTATGCTTTGCATGTGAACGTACCTTACTTACTCTTACCTTACAGAGCACGCGTTATCTAAACAAACAAAACATCCCAGATAACAACAATCACCATTATATTATTGATAGGCAAAAGCATGAGGTGAGGACACTTAATGATTACCATTGTTGTACGGCGTTTACTAAAAGTAATCGCGTCACTTGTAACCGATTACTTTCTGGAGTAATTTTGTCATTATTTGATTACATTTGTAAAGAAGTGGTCTAAAGAGTAACTGTATTGCTTTTGGCGGTACTAAAATTATTTTAGCCGTTACTATTTTCCCCTTCCTCTTTTAGTGGCACACTTTGTACAAGTTTCCTACTAAAGAAGCCTCGATCCAAGTCTACAACAGGGCGATGGTTTACCGAAATCGGTAAACTAGAGGGGCGATGCAATGATTTTTGCACTTTACGCGAATACAGCTTTGAACGAATCACTGGCGTTAATGACCTGTGAAACACCCGCTCGATTTTCACCACATGCAATCGAAGCCGTCGAAAAAATTCAAGAAAACAGGGAAAGGCTAACCCCCTCAACTTTGCACCCAGAGCAAGCGACCCCGTGATATGGAGCCGATTATAGTCCGCCAATGTTGATCATAGCCACGGGCTGGGATTGGCAAGGCGCAGGACAAGCGCCGAGTTCCAGACATTGTTATGGTTCGGTTATTGTCGTCATTGTAGCGATTGGACACAGGCCACTCACTACCCGAATGCTTGTCAAGCTACTGATTATCACGAGCCCAAATCGAGTGCCCACGCAATGCTCGGGTCCAATCTTTGAGCCGCATTCAAGTATCGTCCCTGGAGGATACTGCGATCTGCCAGTTACGTCATCAAGTTTTGCGCAAGACATTTTGAATTAGAACGCTCACTTTTGTCATTGAAATTTAGTGCTGGGAAGTACTTTAAGTACATTGTAGTCAAAGTAGGTTTAGAAGATTTGTAGTTTACTTGATGTACATTCTCTGAGTATGTACTTGTACTTAAAGTATATCTTTTCTGGTAATTTTCGAGGAAAGTAGAACTCCCGACTTCAGAGTACAGTCCCCCAATCTGGTCTCGGTGAAATTTAGCTCTTTCAAGAACTACGCGCTCGTGTCCTTGACATTCGCAGTACTGTACACAACTTCTGAGGTCGAGTATAAGAGTTCACCAATCTTTAACAAAATATGGCTTACAGACGTGTGAAAATGCACTATCGTCCTTCCAGACGTCATTAAATCATTTTTCTGAGTGAAGTAATGGCGGCTATAAGACCGATACAAATAATTTCCTTTTTAGTTGATTGTGTTGAATAGTTCGTAAGAGAAAGTAAAACAACTACTCTGTGGCCACTTACTTCATCCAAAATTTGTCGACATTTCCTAAAATTACTGATGCACCCACGTTGCCACTGGGGAAATTCGTAGAGCCCTGCATATCCTCAGATATCCGCAGTAAACTGACGGATGCGGATAAAAATGAATCAGATTTGGCGGATTGCGAATCAGATTCGGATTCCAAGGGCTGCGGATGCAGATCGGATACGGATATTCGTGTGTCCGGATCTACATTTTTTGCCAAGGCGGTCCATAAACGTGTACGGCCGCACAGTGGAGAAAGAATTAGTGAGTGATACTATGAAATTCATCATGAAATGTATAGCGAGAAAAAACTACCCTCTTAGATAAAAGGTGCCAATCGGGGAAAAAATTGTTCTTTACGTAAAGCAAGATATGATTGTCATCAAAGGTCGCTTTATAACGTTCTATCCCGCCGAAAATGCTGTCCCTAAAAAAAGTCAAGAATACAAGAACATCTGTTGTCCCGGTAAAGCGTTTCTTGTTTGGCAGGGAAAGAGCAGCAAACATTATTTGAGCAAAGAAAACCCAAAACGTAGAAGCCACAAGAAAGTGGAAGTAACCTGCATGTGGCTTCTTCTCAGAATCCAATCCTCTGGAGTGGTGGAACTCGCGCCAGTACGAGTTTCCACACCTCATTCTTGCAGCAGAATTCGTGCATGCCACCCCAGCATCAAGTGCACCAACGGAGAGAGATTTCTCAGTAGCGGGTATGAATTTTAAAGGGGTAAACCAGTCTGAATCCGACCATGTTGACAACATTCGGTTTCTTCTACACGGCAACCTCGACAAGGGAAAGGTTGCGTGCGTGTGTATTTCCTTTTCATGACAGTTGGCATTGAGTTGTTTTTGAGAATATGGTTCCGAGCATGCAGCTGGGGGTTCGCGTTTAAAAGTGAACCTGTAGGAGGTGTTGCATTGTGATATTTTCTCAGTGGTGTACTCGCGCCTTACCACATATAAGCGAGTACTCTGCTGCGGTGAGTGAGCGCCTTTCCTTTCCCTTTTTTATAGTATGTCCTGAATAAAAGGACACAATAGTCTCTCCTTTGTTAACTTCATGTTTATAAAATATGCGTCTGCTTGAAGTGGGCTTTACAAAAAAAAGAAAAAAAGAAGGAAAGTAAATATTACAATTTCCTTCCTTTTGAGCGCCTCTTCTGGACGGAGTGTCAGTGTCATGGACCCTCAAGAAGACGATCTCATAACTGCGATCATGTTTCAAGCGATGCGAAGTGTCTCTGGAAGGATGATCGTTTATTTTATAAATACGATAAAATAGAATACCATAAAATGACTTTCACCGTTATTCTGACACGAAGAGCTTTCTGTACAAAGGTAAGCAGACGACTTATAAAATACCATCCAGATGCTTTTTTTTTTTTCATTTTTATTCATGCGTGATTTTATGGTATAAAATGAATGTGCGGATTAAGGGTCGAATGTTTTTCCGAATTTTACGGATGCGGTTCAGATTCAGATACAAAGTCTGCGGATGCGGATCGGATGATCAAACTGTTGCCCGCGCAGGGCTCTACACATCAGTTTAAAAAAAATAACACTGTATAGTGCATTGGAAGGACATCATGAAAGATTGTGTTAAAAAGTACTACCTTGAAAGTACGATGCATTTACGGCACTTTACTTCAAGTGCATTGTGCCCTGTGTACATACTACCCTACTTCAAGTACATAATCTCTCATTTACTTCGTACTTTACCTCAAGTGCTTTTTAGGCGTGCTTTACCCAACACTGTTGAAATTACACCGCAACAAGAAGTTTCTTGGCCAGTAGCGTTGCGTGCGAGTATCCTTGACTCCCACTAGAGCCACTAAGTTCGGGTAAAGTGAAAAACTTTTTATTGAATTTCGTTGCATCACCCCTACAGCGCACACTCAGCTCGACGCGTGTGGACCAAAAGCTCGCGCTGCAGAACCCAGGGATCCTGGGTTCGAGCCCCATCCCCGCCCGTTTCGATATGGATGAGCATCGTGCCGGCGTGCGGTCGTGTATCACTACTGCGTGGTGCACGTTAAAGACCCCAGGCTAGCGGTTGTACTGCACTGGCTAAATTGCTCATCTACAGCTGAGACACCAGACGCCCACTGAGGCAGACTAACTTCCGGCTGCATAAACATACACACAACAATTGGCTTGCTTTAGAAAAGATAGCTATTAGCCCCGAGAGCGAACACAAGCGTCGCTGCGGTCGCCGCGCCCTGATTGGGTGAGGCGTACCGTGACGTCAGGGCGATGACTCCGCTCCGCGATCTCGCATCGGCTCGCTTCCCAGCACCGGTTTCCTGGTTCGGTGTTGTGTGCCGCAAGCTCTTCGAGGAGCTGGACTTCGTTTACCCGGTGTACCGTTGAGTTAGGCCGATATTGACGTGCTTCCGTACATTTTATAAGGCTGCTTGTCCCTTTTACCTTTAAAATTGGGTTACAAATCCCGAAAGCTATCGGCGGAGGCAATTCCGCCGATGAACCTCCCCGCCCGTCCACACGACACAAGGCAATTTTTGCGAAGGATCGGTGGAGCGGTGGCGCAAGTGTTTCAGACGCTTGAATTCTGTCCCTTGCATGTTCATGATTTGGGACGATATTACATCCCGCTTTCAAGGCATTTGAAGTGGCATTTATATCATGGGCCTTTGGGTGGTCGGCAAATTAGCTTGGGACTCCGACTTTGCGCTGCCGCTCTGCATACGCTGGTTCGCAGATGTTTTAAAGGCCCTGCTTCTGATTATCTTTGAAGTGCTCATAGCACAGGGTTGTTTTACATAAATGTAGCTTCTTCGTAAATTAATTATATAGTTTATACACGTTTGCAGGCAGGCATATTTCTTAGAAGATGCACAATTACTAGAAATTAGTTTGTATGGTAGCAGCAAAAACGGCCGAATTGCCGCAGTTGCCTGTATGATTTGTATTGAACTGCCCAAAATATGCACAGCAATAGTGCCGTAATTTGGAATGTTTATACTTTTTCTGACATTTTTATTCCAGCCTTGGATATTCGGAAAATACACCATTTAGTCTGAATTGTCATTTCCAATTAAAAGAGACACTGCTGCAGGTATCCAAAAGCTTCCTCAGCCTCTAAACTCCCTACAGCTGGACTCTCTGACAACAGTAGAAAACAGGAGTAAAAGCAAGCATTCGAACATCTTTCCAGTGGTAGTTGCAGCACTAGTAGCACAAAATGCATGTGGAACCCGTGAAGGGCGACAGTCTGCGTGAGAAAAGGGTCTGGTATTTTAGCTTCAGGACAATTCGATTTAAGTAAAATCTCAATTTTAGGGCTTAACGGACTAATAATGAGGTAGACACCTTCGCTTACGTTTGTTATACATTACTTGAGGGTTGATATAAACAAGTCCACTGATATCACCCGTGTAGTCCATTGAAATACTATCCGAATCCAGCAAAGGTCAAATGCGAGCAATGTATATAATAAATGTTTCTTGTTTTTTTTACTTTGCCCCTGCACTTGAGCTGTCTTACTTGTGATTATCTCCCCATTGCCCAGGATATACAGGGTGTCACAAAAGAAAATTTACACAATCTTTTTTACCGCAAAAAGAAACTAGGCATCGCCGAACGCTCATTCTCCGCCCAAAGGTAGAGCCAGAGGTCACAACCAGATGCCAAAGTTTCAGCCCGATCCGATAACTTAATCAAAAGTTATAAGTTATTTTCTGAAAATTTCAATGGGAAAATGGCGGCGGACGGAGTTTTCAAACACATGGGGCTCTATGGCACCAGAAACCGAAACCGGGCCGAAATGGGCCCCATTTTCCCATTGAACTTTTCAGAAAATCACTTATAACTTTTGATTAAGTTATCGGAGCGGGCTGAAACTTTGGCGTGTGGTTGTGACCTCTAGCTCTACCTTTGGGCGGAGAATGAGCGTTCGGCGATGCCTAGTTTATTTTTGCGGTAAAAAAGAGCGTGTAAATTTTCTTTTGTGACACCCTGTATGTATTTAGCATGCTGCCCGAGCAGCATGCAGCTTTTCTGCTTCGGCGATCTTGTTTAAAAACGAAGATAGAAAACAAAAAATAGTATTAATAAACTGCCAATTCATTCAGACCATCAGCAGCATTTATTGCGCGAGATGTAAATCTATAGTGATGCTCCTGCAATTGCGGCCGTATTTCTTTATTTTTATATACCAGCTGCGATTCATGCGTTGCCTGCCCTGTCAACCATGCTTAAAATGTTGGTTGAAGTTTCGCCTGTAGCTATAGGCCATACCTGAATAAAGGCACATAAAAATATTTACACTTCCTACGAAAAACACGCCAAAAAAAATTAAATAGAAACGAGCGCGCCGACAGCTGACGTCGTCACAGCCTCCACAGGGCGAGCGGGACGAGCCGGGGAAAACTTCTCTCCTCGCCGTGACGTCACCCCCGCTTGCCGTATGGGGGCGCCACGCGAACTTCTCGGGGCTAATAGTCGGTTGCAACCTAAGAACGAAGGGCGAGGGTAAGACGGGCCGGCGAGGAGGAAGCAGGCGGAACGCTAAAGAGAGAAGGAGGTTTCCCCCTCTCTTCTCCAGCGTTCCGTCGGCTTCCTCCTCCCCGGCCCGTCTTACCCTCGCCCTTCGTTCTTAGGTTGCTACCGACTATAGTTTATAATTCGGCGATCCTAATCCAATAATGGACAGTACGAAGGGACCGTTTTTAAACTAGCCAAAAAATCTGTCGCTTTGAAAATCTGAATTGGGGCAGTAACGACAGTTACTTTTTAGGTAACGGGCAATTACTTTTCTTCTCAGCTATATTCAAATAGTTGAACTGAATATTTTTTAACCCAGAGTAATTGAAATTGTAAACGATTTGTTTTTAGAGTAATGTGTACGAGACTGATCACCATACGCACTAAAATACTAAAATTATTACTGCCAAAGAAGCTTTCGAGTTTCATTGTTTAAATCAAGCTTTCAACTTCCCACCCTACTTTTGTTCTAAAATGAGTAGAACATAAGTTCAACTTATCACGCAGCGAGCACAAAACAGAATAAGTCGTCTGCTCGGTGCGCCTACAGCTAGATGGCGCCACAACTTACACTTACCACTAACTCGGTCGTCTGCGAACATGCCCGCCGTTGACTTTAGAAAATTTCTTGCTATCATTTTTTACTGGAACATAACTAAGCCTTGAATTTTTATAAGGTAAAATGCACCATTGCAATACACATTCCATGAAAGTTAGTGCTACCATATTTGCTCGAGTAATAACCGCACTTCTTATGGCGAAGGCTGCGTCTACTTTCCTGCACAATACACATATTGCCCATCATCGCGCACTCTATAAAAAAACACCGAATGACAAGGTAGAGAACACGATGGTCCGTAAAAATGCTGTCTGAGCAGATAGCACTTTCGCGTGAAGACGTTATCTCAGTCACGTAGAACGCTGCAATTTTTCTGTCGATCGCGGTGGTTCGCTATCCCTTGCTCCGAGGGAAAACAAATCCACAGGCTTTGCTTATAAACAGCGCGGCTATTCCTCGAGCAAGCAACGTGCAGGATCCGATTTTTCTGCGGAACGTTTTACAACGTAAGACCTTCTGGGTGCACCATAGGTAGTTTCGCCATTCAGTAACAGCAAAAGAGTATACAAAAACAAAAGTCGCCTAAGAATATTTTTAAATGACATCAAAAAGTAGTATTACTAACTGACACATTATTTTCATCGCCAGCACATACATGCCGCTACACGTTAACTATACTGACAACCCAGTTGGGAGCGGCAGGGAGCAAATCGAAACTGAAACTACACCGGAAAGCGCTTGAGTGTACACAAGGGGGTGTTACTCAAAGTGTAGATAGTCAGCGCTGTGTCTGTGCACTTCTTTTACTAGTTCTTTGTTCATTTTTTGCGCTGTTTCCGCTTTTGAAGATGATCAACCAACTCACCCAACTTACCGCCTTGTTAGAGTTAAGGCAGCTCTCCTTAGGATAGTGACATTAGGTTTTAGTTTTGGTTAACTTGTTTGTAACTCACTCCACTTGGATCCGTAGAGCACGGGACAGCCGGCATGCCAAGTGAGCAGATCTCCTTCCCAGTTGGACTTGATATTCCACCAGAACACGGCGTCTCCCTGCACAGTGGAAGTTGGTGTTAGGTCTCCTCGATAAGGAGTTGAGCAAAGGCTTGTTCACACATTTGCGTCTAAGTGTGGTATGCCGTGTCGTAACAAGACCACCTAGAAGACAAGGCCGTCTTTCCGCTCAAACGTCATCACTACTGGATACACGCAGCGCCGCTTGTAGCTGGCGTCATGGTTACCTCCAGCGCGTCTCACCGCTGCTCAACTAGCGGGACTCTAGCAGACGGGGACGCCAAGACGGAAGCGTCTGCCGCTTCACGGCCGCTCTCATAGAGCTTCAACGAGTTTGCCGCTTGGGGCGGGTCGGGCGGGGATCCTTCTAGTACGACGTCATGCGCCAGCCTTTGTCTTCGAGGTGGAACATGGTGAAAATCGCGCACAAAGAGAAGAGGACAAACGAGGAAGGAACACAGAACAGGCGTGTTCCTTCCTCGTTTGTCCTCGTCTCTTTGTGCGCGATTTTCACCATGTTCAACGTTTACCAACTCGCCCAACTTACTACTCTTCTTCGAGGTGGTATTGACCCTTTTCGCTGCGAAATGCCTGGCGTCGCGAGAATAGTCCGGTTTTCTTACGAGCTATACTTAAAGCCCGGCTAATCCATCTTTGAGAGCTGCAAACCCTCTGCCCACGTATTTTCCGAGAAATAGTGTCTGTACGTCAATTTTAATTATCGCAAAATCGCCGTTATTTTTTTACTTTACAAACATAAAGGAGGGAAGCTAGCCTACAATACAAAATGGGCCATTTGTGAACCCTCCTGCTATTTTTTACGCTCCAAAAAAAAAAAAAGATATTTGCACGTTCGAACGTCACATATCTATACGTGCGAAGAGCAGAATTCTCAATCTATATTGTAATGAAGATGACCCAGATCCTCATTTTCGCGCGCAAGAATTCTGGCGTGCCTTCTTCATCGCCGAGAGGCAGAAGGTTCTATCACTACGAACGCTTGGAGCAGGCGCGTGAACGACGAGGCCGCAACATCATAATGAACAAAAAAGTAAATCTGCACTGGCTCAGTGATTACCGTGCTTTATATAGCTCCAATGACCAAATACGGGCCATAGCCTTATATTAATAGCCACATTTGAGACCCTGGGATTCGCTGGGTCTGCATTCTTAGATCGCAGTGACTGGTTGCCATTGTACTCAACAGGAGCGCGGACACACGTAAATTTTTAGAGCGATCGGTCGTTTAAATGTATAAAGAAAATAATAATGTAACGATAAACTTCATATTCACCTTTTTGGGGCTCACCCTTACTCCGAGGCTTGGAAATACAGTGGCTCCACCCTCTTCGACGTCACTCATCTGTAACCAAGCCGAGAAAACTTTCGTCGTGTGTCAAACAAGTTGATACAAGACGTTTTTTTTTCGTTTTTTTTTTACGGCATGTCCGCATTAATTTAACAGGATGACGGATTTGAAAGATTTGTTTTTTGTCAATTATTCGCGGACAAGCACCTTTTCCCGTTGAGTTGACGGAATCTCTCGGCCGCCCTTGCTTAATCCGGCCACCACAAGGTGGAAGTCTCAAGCCGCCGTGACAATGCTAATGCATCGTGATGTCTGCAGGGAGTGTGCAGATACTGTCTGAGACATATTTCGTCTTTGTATGACGGTCTTGTCCCGCTGGTCGTACAAGGCCCGTCCGCAGACATGTTCGAAGCGTGTATATGTATGGAGCAAACGTGCATTCAGCACGCTTCAGGCATGGCTGCAGAGAATTCTGTCATCATGTCTTCTGCAAAACCCGTGTCTTTTGTACGATGCATGAGCACTGTGACTCAAGGCTTTAGAGCTCTGTCTAAATATATCGGTCCTCTGTTTGTTCGTAATGAGACAAGAAGGTAATGGTCATGGTTATGGGTGCGGTGAGGGCTGAACCTTATTATACTAATGTTTCATGATGAAAGTCGGCATATATATCACTTGTGCTGCGCGTCAATATTATTTTTTTTTCTTTTTTCATTACCACGTTGGCTTGGTGTGAACCAGTGCCGTATATTGGGAGAGTTTGGCCAGTGGATGTGGCGACGAAGGCGGCGGAGAGGAGAAAAGTATATGAAAGGTAGGAGAGCGCCGAAGGAGCGAGAGAGAAAGAAGGGAGCAGAGAGAAGACGACCGCCATTTTTTCGCAACGCTGTCGGAGAAGAGCACTGCTGAGGCTACGCGTCGTCTGCTACGGGCCGACCTCTTTTTCGCCTGAATAAAAGTTTGTGGCCATACGTCAAGAAAACTTCATTTATTAGTTTTTTAACCCACCGAGGAATATCAGTCTATAATTTCTTGCCAGAGCCAGCGATGCAAAAGGAAATAATCGAGATTTAGATGCCGATCCCATGCATTCCACCGGGAGAATTAACGAAAATGGCGGCCCTCCCCACTCAGCTGGGAGTGGCCGGAAGTTCGCGCGCATGCGCTCATGCCTCTCGCTCTGCGCCGCGTGCTGATTGGCTCACTCGGGAGGAGAGCGTTACGGCGGCGAGATCATAGACTGACCAAACTCTCCCCTTATACGGCTCTGGTGTGAACTAATTTGAAGCGGAACTGAATTGCTATAGGTAGTAGCTGGGACCATAAAAATATTGGATTACAAAGTTAATCCCTATACTCTTGCAACTTGGGTAGAGATGTTTGCAAAAAAGTCGCGCTTAAAATGTTTGTCTGGCCACCGTCGATGGAAATTACTTTGTTTGGACGCCAGTCTGTCAACAGTGGGAACGCCTTAGAGAAACTTCGCTATAAGTATGGTCGCTAAAAAGTCTGCCCAGTCTTCTGTCCACTGCCCCCGTCGGCGATTGGTGAGGAATGAAAGGGCGTGGCGGCGCTGGGAGCAATCGGAGTGCTACAATTTGGCAGTCACTAAGTTACAAATGAAATCTAGAGAAAATACGATAGACACGAGCAAATGAGCACTTCGCAGAGGAATTGCTAACACCTCCTGGTCTTCAGAAGCCTTAGCGGTTCTCGCCTTGCTGCCCTCTCGTCGTTAATTGCTTTGGTGCATAGGTGGAAAAGGAGGAGGATGAAGAACTCGAGTATACTTGTTATCGCAACAGCGCACACCTCACATCCTTACAAAGCTAAATATGTCCTTGCTAAGAAGGCAAAGCAGTCAACAATGCGTTTCTCATCATTCTTGTTGAGACTGAAGAAGGTAGTGAGGGAGGAAGGTAGCAGATACAAGAGCACGCCGATCGCGTGCAAGTGCCCCGTGCAGTTTCATCCACGGCGCTGCTATCCAGCTGCGTAGAGAGAGGCGTTCGAACGGAACACCGGCCAGTCTTTCTAAGGACCACGCTATCAGTACGGTGACTGAACTGCGTCTCTAACTAACTAAAAAAAATTGGCTTGCTTTGTATGTTTATGTCTCCTTGATGGAGATACGGCCTCAACGGGTTTATCATGTCCTAAAATGTGGTTCCCATATTTTTTGCCCAATGACGTCATATTAGTGTCGTGCTGTCCCGTGAAGCGATCCTGGTGACGGTGAAGCAGCGTTGGTGGATGTGGCAGCCGCCTGTTATGCTGCAGGTCGCTCTTTAGCTTGACGGTCTACCGAAGCTTCGACAGCCAGAAGCTGCGAAGCTGCGACGACAGCGACAGTGGCATTCTTTCGCCTTTTTGTTTCGCTATAGAACTTCGACAAAGAACCGCCAGGGTCACCAGATCCTACTGTATAACACGTGGACTCCTGTGGCGTCATTCGTTGCCACTTCAGGACCACTTCCGATGCGTGGGCTGGATAGGATGGTAAACACACCAATAGAATACGAATTTTAGGATAAATGGATGAATGCCAATGGCTGTACCCTTTATAACGGTTTCAGTTGAATACCCGTGTTGTCAGTTTTAGCCTTTGCCTGAACGGAGCAGGAGCCCAGAATAAAGTACACAGTTAAAAAAAAATACTTATGAAGATTAGAAGTTCGGTATTTAACAGTTGCGAATGTTGTACAACTGATACTGTCAGGAGACGTCCGAAAGTATAAAAAAAGATCAAAGAGGCACTTACGTAAATCATAAGCGTCGCCACTCGGTCCCCGAAAAGTCTCTAAAAGTAAATAAGTAAATATAATTTGTTACCATCAAAGTTCTTTCACAACAGGTTATATATATATATATATATATCGCAGTGTGAATATATCGCAGTGAAATTCACACTGCGATAAATATATATCGCAGTGTGAATTTCAATTGCCTCAGCGTTACAGAAAAAGAGTAAACATATATATATATATATATATATATATATATATATATATATATATATATATATATATATATATATATATATATATATATATATATATATATATATGTTTACTCTTTTTCTGTAACGCTGAGGCAATTGAAATTCACACTGCGATACCGCAGTCGAAACCGGTCACTAAAGCTTGTAAAACAAAGGAGCACAAATTAAAATAAAAAAGTAACTCATATTTGTTTACTAGATAATACAATTATCACCACGAAAAGTGAGCGGTCTAGGGGCCAACATCTTTTGCGTAATAAGAACGACTTGACGCGCGTGGCCTCAGAATTTTCACTTTGGAATTGAAAGGGAGTAGATGGTGCCGTCTACCGCCGTGGATGTCAGCCTTCGAGACAGCGGAGAAAGCCGTGTTTGCTGTATTGGCAAATCCGGTATTTCGGCGCGCCCGTGACAGCTGACGCACCACTCTAGGCGTGCTGCCTAAGGCAAATGTATTGAGTAGAGTGTGTTCTCATGGCAAGGTACTTGAGTAACTGTAGAACCTATAGGTTAACTCCTCAGAGATCCCAATGCTTTAAGTGATTCAAGCAATCAGCACCGGAAGAACACGAAGCGGCGACCATTGAAAGTATTCTTTTTCTTTTTTGGGGAGGGGAAGGGGGGGGGGGGGGTCAGCGAAGAAGAGACCAGGTCTAGGACGTGTTTCGGAAGGGGCCGCGGCGCCCCACTGTCGCTGGCTTCCGGAACGTTTTCTTGCGGTCGTCTTTTTTTATTTTTTTACTAGTGGACCGTTGGTCTATATTAGTGTTCTGGCGTCGCACTACCTGGCCTGCTATACATTGCTTTCATATTACGTCGCCGTACCATGCTGGCGGTTTCTTCGCTTGTTCACGCAGGGAAAAAAAAGGATTGTTTGAAATATATGGTGCAGAAGGCAAGCGATGCTATACTCCGTTTCACCTTAAGTCCAGGTGCAACCGGGGCTGCTGATGGAACAAATCAGACAGCGTCAAGAGCGCACCATCATGGTGTTCGTCATGTCCATATACGTGTCGTATCAGCGATGATGCAATCACAAACAGAAAATGCCTAGTGACTTGCGCTGATTAGACGCTGCTAGATAGTTCCCATTAGCTCGTAGCGTCGGCTGTGTCTGGACTTCAGCCGAAGCGAAGTATAGATTAACTCAGCTGTAGAACTTCCGTGGAAAGAGTAGCGCCCCCTTCTCCCCCCCGCCCCCCTTCAGTTTGGCTCCCGTGTTTTGAAGCTCCATCTATATTTTCGTTTTAATACTGCGTGTTCCAAAGAGCACAGCAAAGCACCCCCTAGGCTTCAAAACATATGTGTCCCATAGAATACTCTAAAGTTACCAGAGAGGCAGTGAACAAAACGGTGGCACATCGAACGACGGGGGGTGGGCCGTGGGAGATGTAAAATAATTCTAGCTAAGCAGAGACTGACATAAGACTCTTGTCTATATACAAAAAAGAAGGAGGTAAAAAGGCAGCTGCTTGCGCTCGGTCATCAGTCGACGAATAGAGTGCTTCAATGTGCAACAGGGGGGAGAGGCGGTGTACTGCTCGGGGCAGCAGCGTTTATGGGCAGTTCTCTAACTGAACAAATATAGTAACGTTGGCAGAAGGTAAGCGCTCACCAGCAAGGCCACCACAATAACGGCTGATATGACGTCAGTGAAAACAATGTATAGACGCTTTGCACACACGCCCGATTACAGCCGCCATTCCTGACCTTCTCTTGTCTTGCCGAGATACCAAGCCACTGAAGCGGGCTCTGACGAGCCTCCACAAATGCCAATGCCGGGGAGAAGGCCACGGCCGGATCTAAAATGACAATAACCTGTCCTGCCGCGGTAAGAAAGGAGCGAAGTGATTAAAATAAAATGAAATAAAAACTGAAAGTCGGCTATGGCGGCGTCCATGCGAAGCGGCTGCAAAGTGTCTCTAGAAGGTATTCAGTTTTCGTCGTCAGAGCGAACTGCGGGTACAGCAACTTACCGTCTTCCATGAACAACAGCTCTGACGCAAAGGTAAGGGGGTGAGCGCGTGGCTTTTGAAAGTGTCTTCTATGTGCGAGTACTCATGAAAGCTAAAGTCGCTGTATCCTGGGAAAGTGGCGTCATTGCCTTCCTTACCTGCTAGCCAGACACAAACAGGAAATAACATACCGACGACCAAAACATCATAAGGCAATATGCTGATCAATCTCTGTTGTAAAATCATTCAAAGCAGAAGGCCACAAAGGTAGCCTTCACTATGACGGGCTTCATGTGGATGATACAGTCCATGCCTGGGAAGAAGCGAATTTACGACTGGAACAAGTCCAACTAACTAATTTCCGATCGGAACAAGGTCCCCTGTCCAGCTCGCCACAAACATTCTCCTGAAACGAATTCACAAAAACTACACGTCATATTGCAAAACATCCCAATTAGAAGATTTGCTCTTCCTGTATGATCCTCACATCTTGGCTATTACAGAAACGTGGCTCTCACCAAATATAATCGACTCCACAATCATCCTTCCTTCCGACAAAAATAGTACGCCGAGATCGCAAAGGACTCGGGGGTGGCGAGGCAATCATTGTTAAAAAAAAAAGAAGTTAACTACGTTCAACTTGAAGACATTCCCGAACACGAAAACATTCGGTGCAAAATCAGCTCTCCGAAATATTCCACTTCGTCTGGCGTCGTTTAGAGACCTCGCAAAGTCCCTCTGTCATTTATGGAACCCGTGTCGGGCCATCCAGAATACACACTCACACCTGATCAATGATTCGTACTCACAGGCGATTTTAACCTGCCGAGCATCGACTGGAACACATTAGCTACCCCGGGACCACACGACGTTGACCCCCAGAGCACGCCTTCTTCTGGATTCTGCGTTATTTCATGGCCTTAAACACCTGTCACTCTTCCTACACCCGAGTCACCGACACAATCCACTCAATTCTAAACCTTATCTTCACAAAACAAATTACAAAATATTGCACTTTCACTAGCAAGGACGGCATTGCCGTTCATAAACTGATTCATTTGAGTTCAAATATTCGTAACAATAAGACAACGGCTTTAGTTTAAACTTTTACTGATTTCAGAGCCTCAGATGATATATATGTTCTCGAATGTTTGCATTTTTTTTGCCGGTTTTTAACGTGGTGGTGAAGTTTCACTCCCTTGAGACTAGTTCAAATCCGTCTCATGACTTGTATCAATAGGTCTGTTCCCACCCGTCAAAAACGAACTAAAAGGCGCAATCCATAGATCAATCTAGAGATAATTCACCTAAAGCGGCGAGTGACACAAAAACGTAAGAGCAAATATAAAAATAACTCGGAGGTAAACGCCCTCAATCACTATCGTCTGTGTAAGCTACGCACCACACGAGACAAATTTTACGGCTAAACTTTTACCACTTTTCAGTAGAAATCCCGGCAAAACTTTTGGCGACTACAATCTGACTCTAAGACCAACTAAGGATAGACGGTGCTATAACTTCCTACCTTAAAAACAATGCAACTAAATTCAATGTCAGTTTTCATAGAGCCTTTACAAAACCGAAATATCTTACCATTCAAAATGGACATTATGTAGCTTCACCGGGTCGTGGTTCAATGCCTGACGTAATACTACGTCGTGAGGGCATATTTTCACTACTGTTGTATAAGCCAAATCAAAGCCCACAAATAATCCGGTGCTGACGGTAGAACGAATGATTTTCTACGGCGGTATTCTGAGATGATTTCCGAGAACCTTTACGTGCGCTCAGTGCCTCCCTCAACCAGAGTTGTCTGCCGAATCATTGGCTAATCGCTAGGGTGTTCCCTGTATTTAAAACGGGCGACAAATTAGACTTTGGGGATTACAGATCTATATCCTGAATACGTATATGCTGCAATTTTTTTGATCATATAAAATGCTCATCACGTTTTATACTACTTGGAGTAAATTAACTTTTTCTTCAAAAATCAACACGGATTCCGGACTCTAAAACAACACAACTGTTATTTGTAGTCCAGGACTTCGTCGCAGCGATTGTCAAACGCCAACAGAATGATGCTATCTTTTCTTTTAGCTTTGTCAGAAGCATTCGATCGTGTGCCTTTTGATTTGCTTATTTATAAACAAAAAAAAGTGGAACTTTCTGATAGGCTTGTTCCTTGGATACTGGCATATCGTTACCATCGAAATCAAATTGTTGAATGTAACCGATCTAGGTCTGATAACCTACAGGTTTTGTCTTGTGTACCGCAAGGCTCAGTGCTTTCGCCTTTGCTATAATTTATATAAATAACATTTGCAAAAAATATTGATAAAAGTGCTGCCGTCAAATGATTTGCTGATGACTGAGCCATTTATTTTGTTATCACGAACGCTTCCTGTCAGACACTGCTGAGCGACAATCTTTGTAAACGTGCGAACTGGTGTGAACTGCAGAGTATATAAATTCACTTTTCCAAAACAGTCGCGATGATTGTATCAACAAAGAAAAATCCCTTATCGTACACTTATAGCATTGGGCTATAATGCCATTCAGACTGTTTCTTCTGTAAAATATTTGGGTCTAAAAAAAATCAGCCTTAACTGGGACGAGCGTCTAAAAATATTCACAGGGTTTCTTATGTTATCTCTAAGATGACTTGAAGGCGAAAGCCCAAGCGCCTATCTAAATATGATAGCGAATCTCCGAAGTACAGCGCGCTTTTTGACGATGCACTTTTGGTGTGGATTGATTGCTACGTTTCGTTTTGGTACCTTTCGCGTCGCCGACGTGTTGTCGCTTTAGGATCTTTGAAGGTCGACTGAACGATGAAAGATATAATGCGTTCGCCTTAATAACAAAGGCATTCAAGAAACTGCTTTTGACGAAGAAAATCACAGGAGTGTCCCTCGAATGCCAAGCTTCAAGCATACCGTTCTCTGGTCAGACCAGTCCTAGAGTACACCACAACCGTACGGAATCCGTATTTCATTACAGACATTACGGAGGTGGAGCGTATCCAAGGTGGTGCTGCTCGGTTTATCTCATCAGAGTATCGATCTTCGTCATTAGTAACACATAGTCTAGAGCAGCTGGAACTATAGCCGCTTCATCTACGACGACAGATCGCCAGGCTGAAATATTTTTATTTACTTTTCTCAACAGATCTGGTTTATCAAGTGAAACATATGTATTTCCTGCTCCCCCGAGATCAACGAGACTGAATAACCTTAAAATGATTCGACCATACTTTGCCAGAACTAAACTATTTACACTATTTCAAAAACCATTTCTTTCCACACAAAATTGAACCGCGGAATTGTTGGCCGACATTACTAGTTGAAGGAATATCTGCGAATACATTCCAGCATTTCGTTTTGCCACACATAATATAACCCCATCCTGCCTAGGCATTGCTGCTGCTTGCAGTATTTGAAATAAATCAATAAAAATGAAAATCGCCGGTCCTTCCAGATTTTAGAAGCTTCAAAAAGGGTAGTTCTGAATCCCTCGTGTCAAGATTGCTAGGGAGCATTATAGTACCGAAAAAGAGTCTCGGCAATATAAGCGTCTTTGGCGCTTTGTATGCAATCAACTTATCGGTCATGCTTGTCTCCTCCGACCTCTTAAGGCGCTGTCATACTGAGGAAATAGTTGGACAACTTTAACCGGCAACTCGAGGAATACGCGTTCCCGGCTAGTACTCTGTTTCATCGCGGCAGCAACAACAGTAGGGCAACATGTTGCTGTGGTCCGGCAACCGTGTTGGCCGTTTTGTTGTCCGACCATCTCGTCATACGCGCTGACGGCGGAACCAACACGGGGAACACTCCGCCCTCTAGACTGTTTACCTCCGTTCGTGTGCGGCGCGGTGGCGCTGGAAATATCTTTTTTTTTTTGTATTTTCCACCCTTCATTTTATCGAAATGTTCTTCATTTGCTGACAAAGCAGACAGCCCTAACCGAGGGAAGTGAGATGGCTCACATATGTGCGAGATTTACTCCACCGTATGATGTGTTTCAGTCCGGTTCTTTCATGCAATTCCCATTTCTACTGTAAAATTGCGTTAGCACCGGAAGTACCCTCAAGTGTCTTTTGCAGCATGGTGTTGAGCTGAACTGACAGTTGTTAAAAACTGTGAAACCGGCACGATCGGCCTTCATAACAATCCGTGGAATAAATATTTTTTTCTGCGCTGTCCATTTGCCTACCTCATGCTACGTGATCGCTTCATTCCCCAAAACCCCCAGGGGATTTTTTAAACATTTAAGGTGTGTGGTAGCGACTGTATCCATTTTCTGAGCATGAACAATTATAATCAAAGCGGTCGTTTTTATGCTTCGATTTTTTAACCTTTGCTTTCCTGGATTATTTTTTTATTATAATTTATTAGCGGGTGAGTGAGCATGCCATTTTATTTCACTAGCAGTAATGTGAGCTGCCATCTCGTTAGTTCTAATTTCAACACCAATCTAAACGTTCACGACCATGGCTGCGACCGCTTCGACTATCGCTTTCTGTAATTACGCAGTAAAAACAAATTCAGCAAATTGTTCTAGCTGCACGCCAGCTTTAATTGTTGTTACATAACGTTTTCCAAGCCTTTATTTGAATAACATGCTATTGATAGGGCAACTAGCTCTGCCATCGATGCCATGTGTGTTGTCGTATTGGCGGCACCAAATTTGCTCATCCACCGATCTGGGCAACACGTGTCGTCCAACACAAGTTGCTGCTGTTTCTGTTGTCGAAAGCCGCCATACCGAGGCAACGTTGTGGTCGTGCATGTTGTGCTGCTGCTGCCCCAAGGTGACAGGGCTGTCTGACAACTCGGGGAGCAAGCAACAAGTTGCCCAACTGTTGGATAACATGTTGTGCTCCTGTTTCCATCGTGTTGCCTTAGTGTGACAGCGCCTTTACAACGGTGTGAGTTTGTTTGCGCATTCCAAGACAGGACATTTATTTTCCAGCGCTGCCAAGCACTTGCGCCACCTGTGGTGGCGCTGCGAAGACGTGCGCTTATTTTGCTGGTGTGTGCTTAACAAAATGTCGGTAAGCAAAAAAATTCTTTATAAACCGCCGCGGTGACAGCGAATTCGTTGTCACCGCAAATTTGCATCAGCTCACCAAGAAGAGAGAGATCAAGCAGAAACCGCTCATTCCATGGACCAAAATAAAATGGTAAAGTATTACCAAAATGATGCCGATATCACTGATGTTGCTTTACGGCGATTCTCAACAAAGCGCGTTAGCATTTAGTGCTGGGGTTCAACTCAGCAAAGGATGGGAATTCCTAGGAATTTCAACCTCGTAACTGTCCGCGTACTGCTGTGTTCGGAGAGCCAGTCTGTTCTCCCGGGCGTCGGCGGTTTCTGATCCAGCAACCACAGCTTCCTCTCCCTCCCGCTCCCGCGGCGGATCACTGGGAGCGTGCCAGAAGAGTCTTTCCCTCTTGTAAAAGAGAACGTGGACGTAACGAGCGAACGAATAGAATGAAAGAGCACGGCGGAAATGGCGCCCAGTGAACTGGCTTCACGACGCCAGTTCAGTCAAGTTCAGTTCTGTCCAAACCATACCACGACCGTTCAAACGAAAGACGACTTCATGCACCAGGGCAATGCATGCTAAAGTATTTTAAATGGTAACACTTCCTCGGGATTCAGTGACTTAAAAGTGAAAGCCAAAAGTTGTCACGTTTGAGACGAAGAACTAACGTAAATTTGAGACCAAATCACGGCACTTTAGATTGAGACGTGTTGTTCATGCGTAAGCGTGTTTTTTGCATTCGCCCTCCTTTTTGGTATTTTCATAAAGGAGCAGATCGAACATATCCCGTTTTACGCTTATTTTGACTATTTTTAATAGATATAGCTGTAGTATTCCAAGCATCACCTGGACTCAACAACAGCAACATGAAAAGAAGGACATTGTGACTATACTCACGTGCCTGGAGGTGAGAGTTTCTTCAAGATAGTCGTGGTGCGGCACGTAGTGCCCTCCAATGCCGTAGTTGGCCAGCTGTCATTGACAAAAAACAAAATTGTAAGCAGTAGCAAAAAAAAAAAAAAACAAAAAAAAAACAAGAAAAAACGATTTACTTTATTTTTTATTTGTAAAAAGTGACCTAAGTGACATCAAAATAAAAAGACCGTGTTACCATTACCGCTACCGTTAAAAGTGACGCACGTTACATTTTGCGTTGCTTATAGAATTATGAATTAATACGTTTTACTCCCTTGGCGTTACAGGCATGCATCAGCGTCCTCTTTCAGGACACATTATGTCCTTGCGGAAATTGAACATAATTATCTTTTTTACTGTTCCGCCTAAATACTCACGAGAGAAAACGCGAAGAAAAACGCAAAAGCACTAAAAAATGTACATGACTGGGCGTTTAGAAACAGGAAAAAAAATTGGTGTGCAATTTTTGTTGTGTCTTGGGAAGGATTTGTAACTTACTCGAAATAAGTAATATTATTGCGTTTCCCGTTACTGTTTCTTAAATGTAGCGAGTACGTAACCACGTTACCGGAAAAGCTAACCCGTTACCGTCAACACCGACACAAAGTAAACACAGATCATAAATAGAAGAAAACTCGAGCATATAAAATTCGAAGTCCTTTTACTCACTTGTTAAGGCTCGTTCACATACTTGCAACCGAGTAGGACCGGCTGAGACGAGACCGGTATTTAAGCTTCTTGCGAAGGCTTAGGACCTGCTTCGCAGTAGCGCATCTGGTCTATACGTCGTCGCAAGAGGCTTAAAAATCGGTCGTGTCTCTCTCCGTCCTACTCGGTTGCAGATGTGTGAACGGCGCTTATGCGCAGTGCTATGCAATTCAAAGTAGGGAATGAGGGGAAGGCGGCTTTTGTACAAATAGACCGATCTCACCGGTCAGTTTGACTACGCCACCGCTGCCGCAATGCATCATGGGAACTTTAGTCTTTCTGCACGTGCAACAACCTCGCTGGAGCTCTGCGCGTGTAGAGCACGAGACGGCACGAACTGCCTCGGGCACTGCAGCCTGCCTCCTGTGAACTAAAGTTATGGCGGCGTCACGCATGCGCCGAACGCTGGTGAGATCGGTCTATTTTTGAATGGCGGGCCAATCCTTTAGGGCACAGAATCAACGCGAGGGTGCACAGGATAGTGCTGGGGTAAAAGAGCAGCGTTTATCTCCTCCTCTACAGTTCGTAACGTTACATTCTCAACCCTGTACATTTGGGAATGCTGCGCGCAAGTATACTAGTTGTCACATCGAGGCTCAGGAAGGTTTTTCCGCATTTTTCGCGCGCCGCTGGAAGTACTTACAACATTTGGTTGGCGATGGAAGACGCGATACTTCGCCATTTGAAACGTGTGCGACTGGATAACATTACATGTATCCAAACTTAAGTGCCCCCCCCCCCCCCCCCCCTCTCGAGAGAACACCAACTTTTTTTAAATTATTGTTTTGGGGCGAATACGGGCAGAGTGAGGTAGAGTGTAGACGCAGCTTCAACCTCGCGCATTTAATCCCTTTCCACTGGTTCTCATTTCGACCGCTAGGCCGAGTCAAAATTTTGCTGCAGTCTTGAAGCCCACGCTCCTTTCTCGCACGCCTTTCCCGCTCATGTGGCGCTACCTTCCTTTGAGTTAACAATTGCGCCAAAAGCGGTCGCCAATTGTGGAATCCGTTAAAGGCAAAGGAGGAAAACAGTAAAATTCTTCTAGTTGTTGCTGCCGTGTCATAGGTGGCACAGCATAAAGCAAAAAAAACAACATGAAAGCTCCCTTGAGATAAGCACCCGATGGAGATCTAGTAGTTCTGAGCGTGTGGGGTACCAGATGTGACTAGTAGCACCGTCATCCAGACGGTGTTTACTACTGTTGTTGTCTCCGTGTGCATTAGAAATTGACAGGATTTTTGTAGGCTTAGTATATTTGTTTACTAAAACATACAGGGTGCGTCCGTAAGGACAAGTGTTGTCGTAGCGGGTTACAAGTAATGGCGTTACCGTTAGTGCGTTACTTTTTCCGGTAACGTAGAGTAACGTACTCGTTACGTTTTCAAAACGGTAACGGGTAACCTCTTTACGTTATTTATTTCGAGTAACGGGTAACGTAGCTACGGTACTTGTTACATAACCTCCCCCAAAATTAAAACAAAAAATATTGCGCCTAAATGTTTTTTTTTGTGTGTTTTAAAGCGTCGGGGTATCTGATCATGAGTTTTTTTTTTGTGTGTTTTGCTTCGCATTTGTTTGGGTGAGAATTTAGGTGAAACGGTAAAAAAAATATTTGGTAATTATGTTCTTTTTTCTGCATGGACATAATGTTTCTTTAAATAGGCCGCGCGCTTATGCATACATGTGACTTCAAAACAGTAGAACGTGTTAATTCATAATGAACGAAAATGAAAGATATTTGCAAATCTCTGTAACGCGACATTAAAACGCAGCTCTTGAGGAGGAGTAGGGGAGGGTACGGAGGAGGGGGTGTGTCTCTCCTCTTCCTCGTACCCTCTCCTCCTCTCCTCCTCTCCTACCCTCCCTCCTCCTTTTCCTGCATGCGTACATTCTATACTATCACTTAGTCCAATTTATTAAAATAGCTAATTTAAGCGTTACTGACTACAAGAAAAATAATCTGGGTTTTCTTGATCCTTACAGCAAAAACCTAAGTGCTTTTATTCTGTAGTCATTACACGTACTTTAGCTGTTTAATAAGTAATAATACACCGGTGTCAAGCCCCTCGTAAAAGTTGGGGCCGTCAGTTCGACTATAGGGCGCTGTACGTCGAAATGAAGTTTTGGGGTGTATTATGTGGGAAAAAAGTGCGTAAGACTACACCCTTTTTGAAAATGTGGAGCGAGAGCTCTCATTGCAGAACCCGGGATCCCATTCTCAATCCACACCCATTGCCCGTTTCGATCTGGACGAGCGTCGACCGCCGTGCCGTCGCGTAATCACTACTGTGTGAAGCACGCAAGACCCCAGTTCAGTAGTGAGTACATTCACCTAATTCCACAACTACAGGGGAGACTCCAGGGGTCCATTGTGGCTGAAAATCTCCCCCTTGTTTTTAATTTATCTCACAAACACCTGTTGTAGCGACAAGGGAATTAATCTATATATTTGTTCGGTTACCACAAGCGCCATAGGGCAATACAGTAAGGGGGCGGGAAGGGGGGGGGGGGGGGACGGAGTTTACAATGAAAAACATAAGTGGTTATACGAAAGCTAAGAAAGAAATGATGACATCTCATAAATATTTCAGTCTCACAACAAAGTTTCGGCTCTTTAAAAATGCGGTTTACGATACACTACGTAGTTAGTGCTAAATAAAACAAATCGTTAGGAACAATGTTAACCACTGAGTCTGGCAAACCGTTCCCATCCAATATTGTTTTAAGAAAAAATCTGTTCATATAACATAAGTTTTATAGCGGAATTCCTTAACCGTATACATGTGATCCTTTCGCTGCGATATTTAATGTGACGGGTGATGGCGGTTTTCGCTGTCAATCCCAGTCCTACATGGAAATACGTTATTAAACAATTTGAATCGGAGACTCTTCGTCCTAGAGATTGACTCCCTCGATCTCAGTCCCTCTTTTGCACGTGACATGCTAAGTCGCCTGTCATAAGACGAAACGGGCTGCCCGGTTTTGTACTCTTTCTAGCTTAGTTATCTGAATAGCAGTGTAAGGGTCTCATATCGCGCAAGCATCATCTACAATTGAGCGAACATGCGGAAAATAAAGTTTTTCCATCAGGGAAGGTGGCACAGACTTAAAATTACGAGAGGAAGCCAAGCGTTCTTGAGGCTTTAGAAACAGTACAACAGTACAACGCGCTAATTCCAACTTAAGGTCGAGATTAAGAATACCCCAAGATGTTCGTATTGGTAGACGGCAGTAATGGGTTCGTCCTTAATTGAATAAGCACCGAGGGATGGAATAAGACGTCTAGTATAAGCAGGGATGGGCAAAATACATGGAAATATGTATCGAAATACAAATAATACAAAATACTTCGTCTAAAATGTATTTAATTACAAATCTAAATACAATTTCAAAAAAGCATTTAAGTACGAGATACAAATACAACCAAATGTATTTGGTCTCCTCCAAATACTTTTTCAAATACATTCCTCACAATTTGCGTCAGCGACTTCAGGGCACCTGCAACGGGTTTCTGGGTATCTCATTTTAATTTTGCATGGCACATTCGGGAGTTAGTGTGCGAGGCACTAGTAACGTAATAGAAATATAATCACAAAGAAATGTAATCAGCTTGGACGTAGTAGGTGAAAAAAGTACAGAGCTTCAAGCAGTTTTTTTTTGTTGATGACATTTTGGTAGAGACCAACAAAGAACCGAGACGACCAAGACGCGCAGCACTAGCTGGAGAATGTTTTTATTGTTGCAACTCGCACCAGTTATGAAAATCTGGACGAGCCGCGCATTTAGAATGTTCCAGGCAAAAATATGGATGGAAATCAGGCTGGAAAGCATCACAAGTTGTCACAGGCACTTATTTAGGCAGTCTGCCTGTGAACGTCGATTTCGTCACTATTCTTGCCCTGGACTAGCACCGTAATCACAAAGTCACTCAAAGCCTGTGCTTGATTGAGAGACACTGCATTCGGTGCAGAACGTAGTTTTCTCCCTGCTCTGGACAGCGACAATAAATTTGAGACATGTATTTTCGCCCACAAAATTGTATTTCATTACAATTGTATTTGAAATACCCACGTTTTAGTATTTAAATACACACGTCAAATACATTACCCAATTTGTAATTAAATACAAATGCAAAATGCGCAAAGTATTTGAAATACGTATTTCAAATACTTGTATTTAAAATACTGCCCATCCCTGAGTATAAGTAATATAAACAGTTCTCTTAAGATTAATTTTCATTTCCCATAGTTCGCACCAATCAGAAATAGCACTTATATAAGCCTGTAAAATGTCGATGTCAACATTCTCTCGTATTTTTCAATAAACAACACAACCGTCCGCAAAGAGGCGCATTGGAGAAAACACAACATTGACGATATCGTTCAAATGCAGCATAAATAACAGCGGCCATTCAACAGATTCTCGCAGAACTCCTGGTGTCAAGTCAGCACATTCGGACTGGCAAGCGTTTAGCACAACTTATTGTTTACGGGGAAACAAATATTCGCTTGTCCAGTATACCACCTATTTATCAATTTTGTAACCGTGAAGTTTCGCTATTAACAAATCTGGGGAGACTACATCAAAGGGCTGAAATCAAGAAAAAGGCAGTCAAAACTTTCACCGTCATCAAGAGGTTCAGCCAGTTCATGTACAAACTCTGTTAACTGTGTCACACACGAGTAACCTTGACGAATGCCATGTAAGGACAGATGCAGTATTCCCGAAGAATTTACATGATGGATTATGCCCATGTATAAAATGTGCTCAATTGCCTTACACGCGATACTAGTTAGTTAAAGTGAACGGTAATTTGTGACTACATTCCTTGGGCCTCCCATGTGTATCGGAACCACCCGATCAAGCTTCTAATCTAGCGGTAATGATACGGTACTTAAAGATTTTTTAAATAGAACATAAAAATAAATACAGACCTATTATACCAGAGCTTCAGAATACATGGTCTCGAGTGCGTGGCTTAGAAAAGAGCCTTCTGAGCACGAGCTCTCGTATAACTATATGCGTTCGCAACTTTCACTGCCCGTAGGGAGCGCGCTAGTTCCTATCAAAATAGTTTTCCATTGGTTTTCGTCGTAGAACGGCAGTACGTTGTTGGGTATGCGACGCGTAAGTAATATTTATTTAGTGAAATACGGGCGAAATAAGAGACGTACCTGCTATTTCCACGTCAGGGAGGCGTGGCAGCAAGCACGTCTGAAGTCGATCACCCAGGAGTTAGGGAACGCGATACTCACACCGCGATACCTCTATCGCTGAAATTTGCGAATTCTGTTGAGCCGTGTTCACACCCTCGTGCTATTTATTGTCTTTACTGCAGACATTTGTACGATGAAATAGAAACAAATACACCATACAATTATTGAAAACATACAAGAGATGTCTAACCTGGTATTTTTCTGCCTCGTCCTTGCTGTACAAGGTTCCCAGACCCAAGAGAGATTGCAGGTACTGATTCACTCTTGCAGCAACCGGAGCATCATCGTCGTTCAGCCAGGTACTGGTGTCACAATAATGTTTAGAGTAAACCACAATTCGTCGCGATAGATGCAGCTATGGCTAACGTATGATCTGTTGCAGGATTAGAAAAGCAAGACGAGCTCTGGCGGTCTATTGAGCCACCCAAGATAAACATATTTTCTGGATTCTGAGCCTCAGCTCTTCCTAGCAAGCTGTTTATCTTCTCTCACTTCAAAAAAGCTATGGAGAAGACAACAAAGAAGGTGATGCGAACAAAAAAACAAAAAAAAGAACAAAAAAAAAAACATACAAAATTTTTTGCGCCCTCAATTGGAGTGACGTCACATGTATAACTTTCCAATCTAGCAGGGAGTCTAAAAAAAAACAATATTTTAAGCATGCTTTTTTTCACTGACGGGCTCAACCAGCAGTGTTTTTACGCCATCATATTTTCAAAACTACTTGTAACCCATCCGAAACAAGCTGCAAGGCCCCCACATTGCCCCGTAATTAAACATCTGACGTCACGTTTTCAGGGTTGTCAGCAGAAGCTTTATCCACTCAGACCAAGTTAAAACTTTTACAACTCCGCGGAAAAAAAAAACAACATTATTGTGACTCTCAACTCGGGTTAATTACTAGTTTAAAAATAGGTAGAACCACTTTTGAAGCACAACAATGACTATCAAAATTTCGTCGGAGCGAAAGCCATCAATTTTTTTTTTCATTTTCCCGGGGCCAAAGTCAAAGGGGATACGAAGGGACAGAAGAAAGCCGCCAATCATGATAAGCAGAGAGCTTTAGGGAGTGGCTGTCCTGCTTTCCTCAGCCTGCAACAGGCTATAGTTCTGGTAGTCCCATCTCTGCTAATGATGCCATTGTTTTTTGTTTTTTTTTTGCTTGTATTTTTGACGTCTTATTTAGTCATGACATTTCGTACTCTTCTACAGTTTCCCTCGCTCATCAGTTATTTGCCCAGGTTTTATGACCAGTTAAAATCGAGAGCAACGCGAACCCTTAAAAGAAGTCGATCTTTTGTGTCATCTGTTTTATTCCAAATGGCTGGCTCTTTTAGTGCGATTTACTTTTTACTGAGTTATTTAAAAATCTAATTTATCATTCAGATTACTTATGTTGCATTAAGAAATTGCGTTGGAAGTTCTTTATTAAAAAATAAATAAAAAAGTTTTTTTTTTTGAGAGTTTATAGCTTCAAATCGGGTCAGCCAATGTTGAAGTTGGCTTCTCTGACTGAAGCCCAGCCGCCAGCAGAGGTTATAAATTAACACGAGATAGTCCATTTAGGTACAAGTGCCAGTTAAAAAAATACAGAAATTTCACCCATGGCTTAGTTAACACAATATAGAAATAATAACAATAAATTAGAAAAAAAATTAATAATATAAATAATACTAATTAAATAATAATATAAATATTAATAATAACATTAATATTGATAACAAATTATGTTAACGTTGGATTAAGGAAGCTTTACTTGGAGCTAGTACGACGTGGTGGTCCATCTTTACTAGCCACGCAGAGTGTTTTTGATTGTTCCAGCTGTCGTGAGAAAGAGAAAAAAAATTAATTTACGAAGTCAACCATAGATGAATTACTTAATGATTTCGTTTCTTTACTTTGGCTCACTAGCTCCCAAAATAACATTCACTCATCAATCAGTCAAACGATCTACTATTGAATAAATTAATGAATGAATTATTCGAAGGGTATTTTTATTCAGCTTAACGAGAGCTTGAAGGCCTTTTCGGTAAAGCACACAAACATGTATAGACTAGATGTAGAGATAATTAACAGAATTAATATATTCCGGTTCCTATAGGAGACACAGATTTCCGCAACAATACTGATGATAACAAACTGCGTTTCATAAACATGGTGGAGTACTAAAACCCGTGACAAGTTGCCAACAAAAAGAAATGCAAAGAACGCAGTAAAACATTTAGATATTACTAGATTTTGTTCTATTTAAGGAGGATGTGTTAGCACAAAGAAAAAGTCTATACTGTTTATGTAACCATCAATTAAAGTATGCAAATAATTTAATAGCCCGACGAGACCTTCTGTCATTTAAGGAACGCAGTTTCAAATTCGACAACAATTTTACTATATTTATAATAACAATGCTGACCAAAATGTCTGTCGTAGATGATGAGCACAGATTTCTTTTGCGTGCGTTTGAAGCATTATCTTGCTGGAACGGTAATGCAGATGCGTACCAAGAAAATGCAAATTCAACTCTATGGCGATGGTGTGTGTTGAATAAGCTAGTTACTATGATCAGTGTTAAACAATCTAATTAGGCGGGCCGTTATTTCTAAAGTACGTCCAGACGCCAAAGAATGGAATTTACATGACATGGACATATGCTACTGGATATACATTTAGTGCACAATCCTTATTGGTTTATGCAAGGAGCGTGTGTTTATAAGGGATACATTCCTTTTGCTCCTCAACTTTCCGTTTTCAGCTTAAACACGCTAAGCCAGGAGATATATATCTTCACGCCAACGCTCTGTTTACAAACCCGCGTCCGCGTTGGCGTACATAAGGTTTAAGCACAAGAGCATGCGCAGAGATCAACTTGCGTAGAGAGATGCGTCTACGCATGCGCCGTGCCAATAGCAGTGCCACCGCAGCGCTGCGTTTTTTTAAGCAGGCAGTGATTATAGGGAAAGAAACTGAGGGAGGGGATGAGCCGGGAGCGCGCGGGGAAGTCACAGCGCCGAGCTGTGATTGGAAGGATTAGTGGGGAGACGCAAAGGCTAGCTGCCTATCTTTTTACTTACCGGCTCCCGCCAATCAGAACGAACAAGAGCGTCTGACTGAGCGTCTGGCACCCACTATCCGTCCTATCACAGATTGGCGGTCTGACGTCCCGTCGCGCAGCCATCTCCTCCTCTCCCTCGGTGTCTATTCGTATACACCAACTCAATTTTGTTACGTCACGTCGCTATGTTGGCGCTTCGGGCGCACTTCCGGTCTAGGTGTGTGTGCGGAAGTTTCCATGTGGGGCGGGCATTCCTTTTTTGTTTTGGAAGAAGCCAGACTAGAACCTCTCTTCTGGTCAAAATCCTGCTTCTGAAGCTGTACCAAAAGAGCCGGGAAAGGTGTGAAGATACGTTATCATACGTTTTCTGCCTGTTCGGTTCGTCCGAGGACCTAGATAGGTGCCGTGAAAATAGAAAACCAGACATCGTCGAAGCACGATTGCTTGTACGGGAGCACTTTGGGTTGAATACACGGATACTTCTGGTCGTCAGATTTATAAGTTTTGTACCAACATGAACGCGGGAAAACCGCGTCAAGTTGTCCAGAACACCCATGGACCACGCTAAGTGCGTCTTCACGTTGAAACGGCCGTCTGATCTTCAAACTGTGGTCTGTTCTTGCAAACTTTTTCAAACTGTCGGGTGCTCGATGAAATGACAGCGGCCAGGAGACCAAACGTTGCGATTAGACGGGCATACAAGCCTCAAAATACTTTTAAGTTTGAACGTTACTTGCGGAAAATAGACTCGGTGTAAACATCAGATACAAGGAGATGGTGATCATTGTCACCAGTGGCCATCGCCGACGTGTTATGCCTGATTCACTTGTCCCGAGTCTGCTTGCGATTCTCAGTATCGACGTCGAGCATCGCAGCTATTGTACACGCTATTGCAGCCTGAGCGACGTTTTGACTGAAATTAGTGACGATAATCTCATTGTGTAAATTAGGCTTTAGCGTTCATTATGCGGCGTTCTGCGGAATAAATCGCGCATGGCATATGGTTTACATGAATGTTTTCGGTAAAACGAACCTCGTTAATTTCGTTCAGGCCCCGAAAGTAGTAGGGACGCCGACAACATCACATTACAATGGTTTAAACTAAACAAAACACGAAGGGTTGTAAAACTGACAGAAGAACGTGAAGAGGGAGCTACTGGTAGACCTCAGAACGGCGTGCCGACGTTTCACTAGGAAAGCTAAAGCTTCTTCAGGGCTAAAGAAGCTAGGTCTTTGCAGAGCCCTGTGGAACTTAGGTTTTTTTGTGAAACGTCGACACGCCGTTCTGAGGTTTACCAGAGGCTCCCTCCTCACATTCCAATGGTTTGTTGATGCGGGACATGGCGCGTTTTGCCCACACTCGATCGCGCATGCTCGGCGCGATCGAGCGTGATGTTAGGGGTGCTCCGGTTTGTTCGTGAATATGAATAGGTGTATAGGAGCCTATAGCCCCATGTGACTAAGCGATTGTGGTGTGCGAATACCGGTTAAAATTAATTAGTACTGCATAATTCATAATATTCACACTGAAAGAACGGCCCACGGAGACTTTTTTTCTTTTTTACAGCGTTAAAGCTATGGATGACACTGTTATTCGACTGGAACCGGTATTTGCACACCTCTTATAAATTGTTATTGCAGACTAAACAGAAGGTGGGACTTCCCTTACCCGTGGCTTAGCGAAGGCTATCATATCGGCGAGGTCTCTATCTTGCAGGAGGTCGCGCAGCACGACGACGTAAGGCTTAAGGTTGTATTCTTCGAGTTTTATTGGCTGCAGCTTGAAGAAGCCGTTTTCTCCCGAGTAGTAGCGACACTTCAGCTGGCTGTCCATCTTTGGCGTCTTTGAACGGGACAGACAATATTTTGTGTAAGTAGTGGGATGGCATGCTACTCGAAGTGTCACACAGGAATTTCACTCGAATGTTATATACTTTGAGTATGAAACATGCAGAATAAGGCGCTGTTCATCGATTACAAAGTTTTAACTGGTTAATTCGAAAATTTACGCCGCGATTATCGTTTAAGAGAATGATTGTGGAGGCTCATTGAATGTGTAACGTAATACGGGAATATAAATAGGATATTAGGGATTTGATTTTATTTGTCGGTGTTTCTGACATAACCAAAGGCCTCGTGCTGACGACAGAGGTAAGAATAGGAACATAAGTAAAAAAATACTGACCTTAGCTTAGAGTATCGGCACTCTGATCCCTGACATTGATGTCGGCGCCGCCATTTCGATGTTTGTGCAGAGCAGACGCAAATGCCGCCCGTGATGATTCAAAAGTGCGACTTCCTCAGCAAGTTGGGTGTTAGTAAGCTCACGTAATATTGCTTTGCTTTGTCGCGAACTGTTTAAACATTTGTAAAGGACGGAAAAGCGTTTCCTGTGATTTTAGATAAAGCTTCGGGTAACCGGCAACCATAATTTTAAGCCACAATATGGCCAAGTGTCGTTACTCCGAAGCGTAGTTCATTTAGTGGCACTACCTTTGCCTTTGCGGCACTAAACCCCCGATATAGAGTACAGAAGGTTTTAGTAGAGCCTACGCTAAGAACGGCGGGCTTCGCGGTCGAGTTCAATCCATGCTCAATGCGATGGCACGAGCCCCCGCCAGCAATGCAGTCCTGGCCTACGATCGACAACAACCGCATATTTACACGTAGGGAGAGCTGCATTCTACCGCGTGCCGGCTTTTAGAACTTGCTGCAATAAGCGGGTAAACGCAATATATTTTTGCAGTGCATGGGGATGTCCCAAAATACTCGGGATAATACTGACATTTTTTTTTAACAATCTACGTTCAGCGCAATCGGGGAAAGCTTATCTTTACACCCCAGCGGCCCCAACTTTGGTCGCGTTATTAAATCTGCCGATCGATAGATCTTCCCATGCTCTAGTACTCCAATGAAGGTTCACAAACGCTAGTTTTTACACGTTAAAAAAAATTATCTATACTCCGCCGTATGCAATAACAAACAAGTACGACCCGGCACGCAGCCCTTCACGCGGGCCTTTTAGGCATCGCACGAGAATGGCGGTGAGGGGGGGGGGGGGGGGGAGGGGGTGCTAAAGCAGGGCGAGGAGAATCGCTCTGGATAGACAGGAGTTTTGCCGGCCTTTTCGTGACTCGACTGGATGGCCCGGTACATGCAGCCGGGCAGCTCCCGGAGTGACGACATTCTGATCGTGTAGTTCGGTTCTCGAGTAGGACTGGAGTCAATTTTTCAAAGCAGGCTCCTCTGGCAGTTTTCTGAGATTGTTCTAGTAACGTTGATTTCACTTAAGCCCAGACGCAGCCCCTGCTACAAGCCGACATGACCAATCAGACAGCGTCAAAAGTGCACCATCACGGTGTTCGTCATGTTTCCGCGCGTGTTCTATCATCGACTGAACCAATCATAAACAAGAAGGGCCTATAGTGAGTTGCGCTTTTGACGCTGCTTGATTGATGCCATTACCTCGCAGCGTCGGCTGCGTCTGAAATTTAGTTGAAACGAAGTAGAGTCGCGAACTGCCTAATCATCGGAGAGTGTTAATTCTCCTGACTTCTTATAGGCTAAAACCAGAATTTTATCGACCGTAGAGTGACGCTAAAATGTTCAGGATTCGCAACGCCCCACGTTTCTTAAGCTCTTGGGTATAGAAACGTGAACAGAATGTGCCATGTCCTACCGTCTCTTAAGGCCCGTTTACACACTTGCGGTTTTGCTTACGACCGAGTTCTGGCGATCTTTTACGACGAGGGAAACATATTGTCACGCTGCTGGCGCCATCTTTGAGGTGACTCTGGAACCGCACTCAACTTGAGCGAAAGTTGTGCAGTATTTTCGAGATCAAATGTACGTACAAGTTACTTGAAATGGCTGTTTACGATGCTGTCTAAGATTTCACAAGTAAAAAAAAACAATAATGGCTGAAAAAAAAAAAAAAACCTGAAATGTCAGGTGTTCAACGGCTACCCGAGAGATGGCGCCAGTGTGTTTTCTACTCAGAAAAGATCTCACAAGGAGTTTTAGCGCACTCAGTCGTAAGGAGCCGCATGTGTGTGAACCAGTCTTTAAACTGTCCGTGAGCATACACAAACACGCGGCCGTTACGTCGCGCCTCCGCGATGTCCCTGATATCGACGCGTTGGTTTGCACAAATAACGCAGTGGGATTCAACTCTTACCCTGAGCTGTTCTCCGCGGCAAAGCCTCTTGTAGTTTTCGGTCACCTGGTCATCCTCAATCTCCTCGTCGAAGAGTTGAGCTTTAAACTGCGTGGTCCGATTCGCACGTTCCCGTACGGGTACTCCGTATGTCTGCCAGTCGTCCCCTGCACACACCGAGAAAATCTAAGCGATGCAACAAAGTTGGGGTAGGTCCCACACTTGGTTACAAGCAAAGGTAACCTAACGTTTAAAGTGCTTTGAGGTTGGCAACAGTGATGTGCTTTGAGCTCTTCATTGATCTGATGTCTTTATTCGCTTCTTATATTAACTATCAATTATTACTGAGTGCTCATGAAATTAACGATTACTACATTTAGGATTGTATCAGCACTTATTGTGCTTTCACTTCTGAGCAAAGAAAGGTGTCAACTAAAACTTACTGTTATGGTTTTAGAATTGTTTAGTGCCAGGCAAACAATGGAGTGTTTGAAGTTTGTCACTTAAGGCTGGTTCACACGTTTATGTCGGTTGCGTTCGCAGCAACCGAAACGACATCTACGTCAAAGTGATCGGGACAAGCATTCGCCGTACACCAGGTGGCAAGCGATGCAACGAGTAGCTTAGGGCGGCAGTCACGAGTCACGGTTGTTCGGGTGTTCTGGCTGTTTCTGTCGTTTTGGTTGTCGTGAACGTAACCGTCACAAATGTGTGAACGAGCCTTTAATTTTCAAGATGCCACAGTAAATAACGCCACGGCTTGTGGATGGAACTTTTTTTCTTTCCGAGCAACTCGCGCTATAGCGACAAACAGAAACAACCAACACCGACAAGCCTAAAGCACGCCCAGTACTGCAGAACCCAGGATCCTGCGTTCAATCCCCACCCCTGCCCATTTCGATCTGGATGAGTATCGTACCTGCGTACGATCGTGTATCACTACTGCGTGATGCACGTTAAAAATCTCAGGCTAGCGGTTGTACTGCACTGGCTAAATTGCTTATCTACACCTGGAATACTCGTCGCCCGTTGAGGCAGACCAAGTTCTATATGTATAAACATACAAACAACCCTTTTTTTCTTGCTCACCCAGTATGCACGCTAAGGTAGCTCTGGCGGGCTTGCAGTCTTTCGGTGGTCGTGCAGTCAGCACAAGCCTGCCAAAGATACCTTCGCGTGCATGCTGCGCCTGATAGGGAGCTTGCCTGTATTGGATGTTTCTGTTTTGTCGCTATAGTGGGAATACGGACCAAGATGAGACACACAACTCGGCGAACGCAGCCCGCGATCGACCAGATAAAGTCCCATTGACGCGCGCCCGATCCGCCTTTCTGATTCGCCTCAGCCGACAGCGTCTCCGCCGTGCAGGTGGCGCAACTGTAACAAACCAACAACAACAACAACAACAACAACAACAACAACAACAACAACAACAACAACAACAACAACAACAAAACTTAAGATTAAAAGACGTTTAAACTTTTTTTGTAACGCGAAATTAGAGTAGCTCTTGAAGTATCTTAGCGTCCATTTTCACGTCTAATTTTTGGCTATCTTTAGTGGGGGAACCAGGTTTGTGTATAGGACTCGTGTCATAAAGTCATGAGACATCATGTTCCCCGTTAAATTGAGCAGGAAAACGAAATTGATGGCGAGGTCACGTGACGTCAGTTTTTCGGTTGAATCTAGCGGGAAACAAAATTTGCGTATAGGTCCCGTGGAACGGTCATATAACGGCAATTTTTTCGCTAAATTTAGCGGGGAAACTGAATTGTTGACGTCACGTGACGTAAGTAGTCCGGCTACATATAGCGGTGAAACTGAATTGGTGTGTGGTCCACGTGACACGAAGTCGTGACGTCATTTCTTTCTGCTAAATTTAGCAGGGAAACTAAATTGATGTTGATGTCACCTGCCGTAAATTTTTCCGCAAAATCTGGCGGGGAAACGAAATGTGTATAGCTGACGTGCACGAAGTTATGGGACGTCATTTCTTCCACTAAATCTAACGAGGAAACTGAATTGTTGTTGAGGTCACATGACGTCAATTTCCCCCTTAATCTACCGGGGAAATGAATGTATTTGTAGGCCACGCGACACCAAGTCATGTGACATCGTTTTTTCCGCTAAATTTAGCAGGGAAACTAAATCGCGGCGTGGTCACGTGACGTTAATTTACCCGGTAAACCTAGCGGGGAAACTGAATTTGTGTATAGGTCACGCGACACGAACTCATGTGACGTCAAACGCGAACGCTGATCATTTAACTTTTCTGTTTCGGCTTTCTCTTTATGCTTTCGATTTTGCTTTTGCGTTTTTTGCTGCGGGGAGAGAGGGGAAGTGACGGGGTGACGCTTGCTGACGTCAGCGTTTCGGACCAATGGAAGTGTCGCACGTGTCTCCCTCTTCCCCTCCGTTTCCACCTCTTCCGGCGCTGACAAACTTACAGACACCGCCGGGTTTTCGTCAAGACGAGCGTTCTAATGTTAACGCATTAATAATAGCAAAAGGCTCACCTACTTCTCCAGCGGTCCTCAACACTTCATCGTGCTGTTGAAAAAAAAAGAACAGTAAGAACTCATTTAAACGAATTTATATTGAGAGCTTTAAGCTCCGCTCAATGTCGTTTGAACAACTTAGGTCTGAAAGGCGGGGAAGGAGCTTCGTGTACATTTGACAATGCTTCGGTGCCTGGTGCACCTCGAGCGCGCGCACGTGCTGCCAAAGCACGACGGGAGGCGTAGAGCGCGTGCCTGAGCCTGGTGGTGGGGCATTCCCAAGACACGCCCTGCCATTCCCACTGGTGTCTGGAACGAGTCTTCGACCGGTGTATTTATCCTCCTATTCCTCCGATTCATCAAAAGTGGACCCGAAGTTGCAACAAATTAGACACAGGAGCCGGCGTGTAATGGTGATGATAAACACCCGGCTCTTTCAATTTGAAACGGGCGGGCTCGAACCAGGTTCATGACCAAGCATGGGGGTGTGCGAATCTTAATGACCCCTGAGGTGCATCTTCCTTCACCCAATCACCAAGTTTTCTTTCAGTTTACCTTTGGTCTGTCACGCTGTTGGACGCTGCGATCCTGTCGGTTAATTGAAGAAAGGCTGGTGAAAGAGGCAAGTGGACGCAAGGGTCACTGTTGTCGAGGCGTCCCAGCTCGCGTCTGCTTTGGTTTCTATCGTAGAGTTATTACAATAAACGCTAGAGGCTCTGCTGGCCCTAGTGTCTACGGGACTTCCGGTTGCACATTGAAGCAGACAGCAACCAGTTTACTTTTCCAGTCTTCTTGTGTATTCCTATGGAAAAACGAACGTGATGTTTTTCTCTTCGCCAGGGAATAATAGAAATCAGCGTAGTTTCTTTACTCGTAACGGGTACTATGTAGATTTATTCACAATATAAAAGTGTATAGCATTTATTTATTGTTTTTTTTACGATTCAGCGATGTTTAAGTTAGCAAAAATACAGGCACAAGTCTATGTTGTACATCATGATATGTCAATACAAGCTACCAATAAACAAGAATCGTATTTATTTTAGAACAACAACACTCGGTTGCTGGTTTATTTTGATTATTCATGCACAGTCTGTTACTAATCCAGTACTTGCTCTTCGTTCCATAACTCCATGTTTCGTTCTTGTCGTCGGTCTTGATTGTTTGATTTGGCATATATTAGCATCCTTTGGGCGTTTTTCAAGTGGATTCACTCCGTGTGCTTCATAGCATTGGCTATATGCGTAAATACGTGCCCTATAATAACAGTCGGCAACGTCGACACCTATTTATACATGTGTAGTGGGCTATTTGAGCGCAATGTTCAACGTCATTAAGTCCAAAGGAAAACGCTCCCCAACTTTTCATTCTGTCACAACACTAAGCAATATTCGCGCTTATAATCGAGCGCGAAGAGGATGCATTACCGGAAGTCAAATTTAGACTGGTTGTTGTCTGCTTCAAGCTGCAACAACGCACTAGCGCCACCTGAGTCTATCCTTTATTGTTATAACTCTAAGGTTTGTATCCAGTGCCCGGCTACAATACGACCCGCTGCAGAACAGGCGCCTTGCGTATCTCTCTCTTCCGCTACCGCCAGGATCGCTACATGCAAAAGAGTGACACCTTCATGACGTTGTTGAGCGGAGGCCGAGAGACCACCTTTGATGACGTGGTAAACACACCAGTCGAAGGCGCGCTCCAGGTAACATATCTATACAAATGTTCATAAAAAGCACCTTGCCCTCTAAAAAAAAGTAGGTTTATGGTCCACTTTCTCACAAAGCACTTGGAACAACCAATCAAGGTATTTTGCATTCTAAGAATTCCAGTGTTGCGAAATTCTTTAAGTACATTGTACTCAAAGTACTAAGTACTTAAAGTGGTACTTTAAGTAGTACTTAAAGTACTACTTAAAGTATGTTAAAAAAACTTGTGCTTTACTTGGAGTAAGTCGTACGAACGTGCACTTGCACATTACTTTAAGTATTTCTTCCTAATGCTTTCCGAGGGAGCCACAACTCCCGACTTCAAGGTAGACTCTTCAATTTGGTCTAATTACATTCGTATCGCAAAAATGATGCTTTGTGAACTCCGAGGAAACCCTGGAAGGGATATTCAACTTTCATCAGAAACGCGAACAGACGAAGCATCGCTCCATTTGCATTGGGGGTGGCTTTCCCGTAGCATATCCATCTCTACTTCTCGCTAGGTCAGCTCAAGTGATCGAGGAGGTCAAAAAATTAAAAGAGGACACTCCTCCACAAGAGGATTGCTGGCATGAAAACTTGTGTTAAAAAACAAGAACTTGTACTTTACTTTTAAAGTAAATTGTATTTATAGGTCTTCATTTGAAGTACGTTGCACCCGGTATGCCTACTGTTTTAATTGAAGCACATAACCTTTCAATTACTCCCTGCTTTATTTTAAGTATTTTTATATGCAGTTTACCCAACACTGAAAACATATGGAGCATATCTTTTCTCGGAAGGCTCTTGGAAGAGCCAATCGGTTTAACCTACAAATGCTCTGCGAATGACAAGGCTCAATACATGTTTAGACTTGAAAAACTCTCTGCGCTGGGACAGTGAGCAAAGCGAAACACGAAGCTCAGTCTCAAAGCACCTACTTCTTCTTTACATGTAAACATAATTAAAACCTCGCATTTTTCCGAACTCACTCTGTAGACTACAATGATTCGCTCTCCCAAGTTCTCTACGAGAAAGTGAAGCTACAGTTTTTTTTCCTTTTGTGTGTATATTAAGCAGCGTTGACCAGGTACAGAGACATTTAGTTCTTTCTTAGCTGCGTTTACCCGGTTCACTCGATCCAGCTTGGTATGACAAAGTGTTCAAGTTCTCATTGTCGCGCCCCAGTGCTACACTGCAGTGACATCTGCCAAAGGGTCTCCTTTTGTTATCACTAAAGCGGCAGTGAAAACTGCTCCTACATCATACAAAAAACAAGGGGTACTCTGCAGAGACTATGGCAGAGGTATCCGCGGACACTCCTCACGCCAGATCGAAACACGTAGGGTTAGGTGGGGATCAAATGCGACAGTTTGGTGTTTAGCGCCATCTCCCAGACAAGCATTCGGAGTTCGTTCAAGCTTCACCAATAAGTTCACGGACCATGGCGCCAGTGTAAAAAAGAAGAGCTGTCGGAAAGAATGTTCCGGAGAAAAAAAAGAAGAAAAACAGAATCGGAGTTGAGGTGGACGTGTTTACCCACCGCCAAAAAGGAGCGAAATTCAGCGCGAGGTTTCGCTTCGAGACGTGCACACCTGTTGGCACAAACAGCTCTGCCGAAGTAAGCTTTAATTTTATTAGTAGGCTTTGATAGCTCCATCCGAACCAAATTTGAGTGGTCTGTGATTTAGTTTTTTGAAAGAAATAATTATTTACCTAGCGGGATACGCTAGGTGGTTCAAAACGCGACAATCTGGCATTCTATTACGCGCATGCCATTAACCCACGAGTCTCCTGGTTGCTTCTGAGCCATATTCTTTTTTTTTTCCGGTATCTACGATAGTCCGAACGTATAAAAGAAAAAGCAACAAGGGCTTCATAGCGCAAACGCGACACGAAGAAGGCTCTTGAAAATGTCAAGCAACAGAGTCACTTCCTTCGCACTGCTGCAGCACGTTCTGGCGTACCAAACGATGAACTTCAAAGTCAAGCCAAACAACAAGGGAAATAAAACAAACAAACAAACAACGGCTCTAAAAAAAAACCTAGTAAAAACGGTTGGGCTACAAAAGTCGCGTCCTTTCCAACGTTTCAAGTTTCAAACGAAATTGTTTTGTACCTAACGCAGTATAGAAAAATAAAACAAGCAGGTCGGACAGCAGCATTGTTCTAACGTCATCTCCTCACAAGGCAAACCTGATGTTTGTGAGAGCAACCGACAACCGACGTTCCACTGCCCGGCTTCCCCAAAAGAAAAAAAAAAAGAATTTACACCGAACAGAAAGATTATTGGAGATCCCCCGAAGAAGTGCGCAGTGTCCGAGCGTTCTGCAGACCATGTGGTGCACACAACAAGAGACTGGCAGCACCTGGTATGCAAAGAACTTTGGAGCCAAGCAGCCCCGCATTCAGTATGAACCGAGTGCATGGAATGCAAAGAGGGGGCTTACGAAGAGTATGTTGGGGGTCGCACAGTGCGTTTCAAGTAGTTCTATTGCAAAAGACTGAACGTACATCAGGTTCTTTCTAAGCGTCGCTCCTTGTACCCCATTACGTTGTATCAATTTGCCCACCAGGGCGGGGCATAATGAGACATTGTGTGACTTTCCCGTGCTGTAGGTTTGCTGAATGTTTTGCTTGCTCCTGTTAAGTAATATTTACTTAGTATAAAGTCAAGACATCAAAGAATATCTCCATGCTGTATTTTTGTTTTATATTGAAGCAAAACATACAAAATTACTATTGAAATGAAACTGTGCTGTCTCATTTTGGCCCACCTTACCGCATGCGACGTACATTCTATGCTTCGAACATCTGTACAAGCTGTTTTTTTGTAAGACCAATGTGGCAGAACCGTCTTATAAAAATATTGGCAGCGACCTTCACCATAAAATTCCCTAGATGGATGAAATACATTATAGGGAGTTGTTAAGGGAATCGGTGTGTCGCGTGACGTATATTTCCCGCCAAATTTAGCGGGGAAACTGAATGGCTTATATGTCACGTGACGTCGGGTAACGTGACGTCGATTTTTCCCGTTAAATTATGCGGGGAAACTGGATAGCTGTCTAAGTCAGAAGACGTGAATTTTCCCGCCAAATGTAGCGGGTAACTGATCGGGTGTGTAAATCACGTGACGTCAAATCTCCCTCTAAAATTAGCGCGGAAAGTAAAATGATGTTTTGGCCGCAAGGCGTGGAATTTCCCTCTAAATTTAGCGGTTAAACTGAGATGACATATTGGTCACCTGCCGTCAATTTCCCCAAGGTGTACAGGTCACGTGACATCAGGTGATGCACCTTTCCCCGCTAAATTGATCGGAAAATGTACGACCAAACGGACGAACGGACAGACGGACAACATTTTAGGACGGGGCAGGGGGGGAAGGGCTGCTTTAAAAAGCATTACATGCTTTAATAGAAACATGCCTTGGAGGGAGGGAGTGTCTGCAGGTATTCTTTTGTCTTATGTATTACCAGCGTGACCCCGACCTAACGTAAAGTGCATGCATCTGAGGACCTCTTTGATGGCGTCCTTGTAAAAAGTGTCCAGTTCTTGCTTGGGGATTGTGGGTGGTTCTTCTTCCGCGGCCTTGGCTATTGCTTGTTCAGCCCATTCCACAGCGCGGTCGTAGAAACCGTGGTGAAGAGCCACCTGGCTGATGTTGAAGCAATCCCGAGCTGTTAACGTTAAACGGAGAGCGGACGAGTATCACTCACCTGCAATTGCCTTACAACAGGGTCAATGGCACAACTTATTTGCAGCAATAGGCAAGGAAGGCTTATATTTTTAACGATCGTTTTGGAAAGTATACAAGATAACAGAAAGAATAAAACTCGTCTGTTTCGTCCTTTCTATGTTTGATTATTTTTGTTATGTTGCAATGGAGGATTACGCCTGTACTGAGTGGTTATAACATATAAATATTTGACACGCTGTAAATATGGTAACAGATAATTAGAAGTTGCACGTTTGTGCGACAAGATGCATGTCTCCCTCATACCTATAGCTACAGGAATTCACCTGATAGATGAGCAAATTGTACCCCATTCGCACGATTATAAATGTCTCTTTAGCTGAGGGGGAATCAGTTCGCGATTCTCCGCGCGTAGCATGTACTTCCTACCAAGAACGTTGGCTGATCCGCCAATCGCCAAGGGACCTTTGTTAAAGGTGCACTCATTATGGCCGTGTGATTGGAGTATGAGATAGCGGACATGGCCAACACCCTTAGTTTATTTAATTGCGGTAGTAGATCAAAAGGAAATGCTAGAAAGCGCGCAAACGTAAATAAATCTACTAAAAATGCAAGGTCACGGTGCATTCACTGCGCTTGATTGATTCAGCCGGTTACAGTGGACGTCCAACAAGATGACGAATGCCGAGACGTTGCACATTTGCAGTTCTTTGATCAGTCCCATTCGCTCGCTTTCTAGTTAACACATCCGAGTTAACTAAATCATAGTTTGGGATTTTTTACATGACCTACCAGCCCGGTGCACACTGCTTAACGATGGGTGGTGCATCAACGTTCGCCTTGGACTCGCTACTGAAAAAACACTCCTCCCCGCCAATGTCTGGTGCCTGTAGCGCGTCTCCGATTGGTGTGATTAGCATCCCATCCCGCCCATACATCAAAGGTTGTCTCGTTGTGGCAACAAATGACGTTAGAGAAGCCGGAGTTCCATGCTGTCGGATATCGCGATCCTGGCGGTTGGCACAAGAAGTACCGGCAAAAAGCACGAGCGAACTCGAGTGTCGCGGTCGTCGCGGCGTCTCAACTCCTGGCTGCCGAAGCCTCCGTGGAATGTCCAGCCGAAGAGCGGCCCTCAGCACAACAGGCGTGTGCCACATTCACTACCGCTGCCGTGATAGCGCCAGGATCGCTGCCGGCGACAGCATGCCACTTTTTTGACGTCATCAAGCAGAAATCGAGGGACCACCTTTCTTGGACGCGGAAATCACACCAGTAGGAGGTACGTTCCAGCCACCATAGCCAAAGGCTGACACGGTACTTGTGTTCACTCTTTGCCCTCCGCTGGTTTCCAGTGGATGGCTCAGAAAAGCCATGACTACGGCCTGTTATCTAGAAGGTATTGTCTACGCCTGGTAACGTCGGGTTTGTAGCTAACACAAGGCGCCCAGTTGTGACCCTATCTCTGCAAGCTAGAACGATGCTCATCCATCTTAAAACTGACTGGACCACGGGTTCGATTCTGGTCACCGCGAGAGGGTAAGCGAGTTATAATTTGCCTATCGCAGAGAGAGCAAAGATGGCGTTCCTACACGGTTCGTCTGCTAACGCGAGCGAAGAACGCGGTTCTTCTGCTACGAGGTGTCGTTCACAGACGAAAATAAAAGAAGAAAACGCCGTACGTTGTCCGCTAATAGAGCGGGAAATATAGTTGATCGTCTGCTACGAACCGAGTGGCGCGGCAAAGAGAGATCGGATGCGGGCTGAAATGGTGATCGTCTCCTCCTTCACTTTGGATGTCAATAATAACTCGCGCTTCATTTGCAAACCTCAGATTGTTCTGCTACCGTACACAAGCTGACACTGCCTGGGGGATGAAGAGTTCTAAGGACAATATCTTCAGAGGGCGCGAAAAATCTTTCGCTATTCGTATGTTGGTAAGCATCCTCATCAAAATGTTGTCTAAATGTAAACTGGCGAACGGGTCAAAAAGATCTCATTGGTGGCTGACGCGCAAGCTGTGGCACCCCGTCCAATCAGCAGCCGAAGACGCTCTCGCTCTAACCTCAATCAAAATTGAATTCAGGGTGTCGGACCGGAAAATGATACATTAATTTTGGAGGCGTTTTAATCTAATTATAGTAAATAATATTTCTAAATCCAACATAAATCCTTAAGGTAATCAGTAGTTAAATTAATGGTGAAACTAAGTAGTAGACTGTACCAAATTGTGATTTTAATATTCGGACGCAGTTGTAGAAAATTATGTCTAAAATACTGACCATGTTTTGTCCAAAAACGCTCTATGGTTGATTGAATAAATTAAAAAAATCATATATTCTTTGAACTAAATTAATATCAGGACGGGAGGTTGCGTTAGCACATCAAAACACACCTTTTTTAAGGTAGCGCCCAGATCGGTATCTAGGGTCCTCTTACATATTTCAGCAGATTGTGTATTGTTAGAACTGAGTTGACGTCTGGACGGGAGCTCGCGCTCGTACCCCAGGGCGAGCTTCCGGCCACAGAAAACATTTTGCTAAATCGTCATACTAATCTTTTTTTATGATGAACGATTACGTGGCATACCATTCAGTGGAAGACGCCCAGGAACACTTCGGTTCCGTGGAATCTCAGTGCGTATGTGTCCCTTCGTCAGTTCATGTAAGTCCAGAGCGTACATGTCTTGGAGTCTCACAAGTGAACCCGCAAGCCCTGTGAAGTCCTCGTCCCATGGAAGCAGTCGTTGCTTGCGCATTTCCATGACGTTCACGAGGGGATCTGCGAGTGTTCGTGGAGAAATGGTAATTGACATACTGCCAAACATTTTACGTTCGTCCTGTTACTTGTTCGACCACAATAAACTACTTGCACAAATTAATGAATTGCATTCATAAACCGATTAAACTACATTGGAATAATAAAGGCTAGCGTGTGGCGAAGAACTGATCCCGTTACTCTAGTGGAGGTATATAGAAATGCAGCCCTTTGTACGACAAGCGAAAATATGGTTATCAATTCCAGTAAACCTGATAAGGGCCGATGGTTTCAAGATTTTTTAATCGAAGCAGTCGCGTGGGGCAGGTGTCATTTTGATAGCACACAAGAGCGCTTCGAGGATCAAAACTGATTTCTGATTTCAAAACAAAAAATACCTAATTATTTGCTGTATAAGCCGAAAATATAAACGGGAAAGATAACTTGAATAATTGAGAGACATTTTTTGTTTTCCAGGAGGACAGAAATATTTTTGTCTCTTTTAGTATCCTGTCTAATGTACAGCACAGTAGGATGGAAGACACATTTTTTATTCAACGTATTCAGGCAGGAAATTGCAAGATACTGTGACTGCGCTCATGAAGCTTTGGGTGGCACCCGCTTTAATTATGTTTGCTTTAAGATATAACTCCAGGATTTTGGGCACCAGTTGAAATTCGATGGCGGGTAACTGCAGACTGCTCTCGTTATACGCATACAAGTCCTTTTGAAGTGCATTAAGGAACCGCCATGGCCGCGCTATCCTAGAGGGCTTGCTAGGTCTTCCAGAATATTCATTTCCCACCATAAAATGTTTTGCTTTCTACACGCGATATGTTACTTTGCCAATAGAACATGTGGTCCTACAGCAATCAACGTCTACGACTTCTAGGTAAATAATAATTGACGGAAAAGTACAGCTCCTATTGGTAAAGAGACCTGTCAGGATATATGGTAAAGTAACATATTCTTAAAGTAACAACAGTCAGCTTTGTTCACAGTGAACTGGATCTCTTTCCATAGGGTGGTTCCACGAAACGAATTTCCCCTTCCAATAAGCCGGGTTCAGCCATGTTGATGAAAATAGTCTGACACTTTAGCCACATGTTTACGCACAGGCGGTTAGGAGTTTACGTCGTTTTTGGTGTTGCTCTAAAGCTCAAGCATGGCGGGTGGCTCCGGTGACGACAGTACTCAGCAAGATACAATCGGAGACTTATTTGGATTGGTAACTCCAAGTTTATTTTGATTTGTATCCTTGCTGAAACAATGTTGACTGTTGGGAGAGTTGGGGTTTAATCTTTGAAAACATCATAACGCTTATGGACACGGAGAACAGAGAAGAACCTCTTGTTCGTGTACATAAGCGCTACCATGTTTTCAAAGACTTTAGGAGTCGCTCAGGCGGCATGTGGTTGGGGCCTTCATAACCGCAAACGGGTCGACTTCTCGATCGCCATCTTGTTTAAAGTACGAATAATAACTCTGTGTAAATTCCAAGGGCCAGATGATGCTTTTTTGTGATGCCGACACCTCCGGCAGACGCAGCGTACTTTTGGTCTAGTTTTTTGTGTCATGATCTATAGATCATGACACAAAAAACTAGACCAAGATAAACAAAAACACTGTTTCCGCGCATAGAAGGATATAATGCGAAAGTCCACCAATATGGCGTCCGGAGAGATTTCTGGCCGAAAGTACGTCACGTAAAACCATACTATAGTTAAATGCGATCTGCGCGGTCACGAGGTACAGGTGCCACAATGGACTGAGGTGTTCGCAATTTTCTTCAGTGTCGGCTTGACGACCTTCTCCATAATAAGACAAAAAAAAAAGTTGGCCATGTTTGAATTGATCTTTCCTATGTATCATTTTACCACTTGAGTAAATAAGATTTTTGGCTGTTTTAAATGAACGCATAAATCGGTTTATTGACTTATCGCACTAAGGTTTACCATACAGAAAGGCGCCCGAAAGTGGTGGACTTTGTGTATTAAGTTTTCGTTCAACAAGCTTACCAGAGTAAAACGTTGAAAATAAATGACTTGAAATTCCCACCTACGGCGTCAGTCTGCTCACGAAAGGCGTCTGCTGTCGCAACAGTCGGGAGAAGGCGGCACGTAAAATAACAGGCGGAGAAGGCGGCCACATTCGGCGCTTCCCTCAACGTCAGTAGTAACAGACGTCTTTTCTGTGCCAGAAGCGTTGCGTCTTTTTTCTGGGCCAATTGTCAGTGAATGATTCTCTAATTCTTACCAATTGAAACATACAAAAACGAACCAAAAGGAGGCAAACAAAACAAAACATATACGTTATCTGTTCATGTGTTTCCACCATTTCTCAACTGTCACGCTAATCAGACGCATTTGGCCAGCAGACTGACACCGTAAGGGTTTCAAGTTCTTGATTTTACAACAAAGCTTTTTTTTTGGCTAGGGTTTCGTGAATTTTTTGTGTGCGTCTACAAAAACGCAGGTCCCGAATTCGATGAAAAATCACTTCATTATATGCAAACGTTTGTCTCATCATTTGTATATGCATTTTCAATAGATTCCCTACCGAAAAATCCGGTATAACTTTTCACTATCCGGATTATGGAACCGGAAATTTGGTACTGGAAACCCGAAATCCAGATTGCAGACAAAGGAATAATTTCTGAAAACCTAAATTCCAGATAGAGTCCAGATAGAATCCAGATAGATTTCCGGTTTCATAATCCAGATAGCGAAAAGTTATACCGGATTTTTCGGTAGGGTTAGCTATCAAAAGGAACCATTTTCAAGATCAGAAGACTCTCGGATATATAATAAAGTTTTCTCAAAGATTTGCCACTGTGCGAAGCGCGTCGGCCATGTCTACGCTAGTAGCGTCATTCTTTTTGTAATCGTTCCAAGCGCTTGCGTGCCTAGTTTCCTTTACTTCCGCTCTCCCGGGGTGGCGGTCCCGTCGCGCGTGTCTAGTTTCCTTCGGCTCCTCGGGGCGGGTCTTTGTCGTGTGCTAAACAGCGTCGCTGGTCATCCACCTTCCCAGAGTTGAATAGCTCATGATTTTTAACTTTTTAACTTAAGTTTGTTAAATAAAAACATATGGCACGCAAGATTCACCATCATCAAGAACCCCTGTGGTACATCCTGGTGCGATACGTTAAGAAACCTATTTATTTATGACTCAAGAGGTCCAAATAAAGGTTATTATTATTATTATCCCTGCAGACAGCCAACCATTCCTTTATTTCACGCGGTAGCATAAGTATGCTAAGAAAAAATGAGACCTACCGAACTTTCGCGTTTTGTTTATCAGTGCTTCTATGACTCCAAGGCCAGAGGTCATCCTCTTGATCAAGTGGAAGGCGTGCACCGGATGCTTGAGGTATTCAAAGACAGCGGAAGGGGACGTGAAGTCGTCGTAGGGCTGCTTATCATGAACGAAACTGCCGAGGAGAGAATCGGAGGACTGATGATTTGGAAGATTAACCCCATATATATATTAAAAAAAGCCACACTCGAAGATTGTGTTGTTTATTTATGTTTGCATTCACGGGTATTACTGCGTTGTGTTGACACAGAAGGCATCGTGGGACTTAACTTTCAACGTAGAGAAAGAGCTGTAGTTTAGAAAATTCGGTGTCAACGCGAGAAAATTCAGTCTTACTTTTAAATGTGTCCACTCGTTTAAAAAATGAATTTCATTGCATGTTATGACAAAAAATAAATGATTATGATAATAAGAACCTGCATTAGCAGCTAGTAAATAATTACAAATATATCACGAACGTCGCAAGATTATGTATAAAAATGAACTAAAAAGGAGACTCGAGAAAAAAAACAAAAACAAAAATACAGCAACGATCACCAAAGTCGTAGCGTGACTAAAGATTAAAATAAAAAAAGGCATCATCGAATATAATGCGAAAAAAATATAGAACAACAATATCACCGCATGGCTCGCAGATATAAATATATAAATATTAAACAATGACGTAATTTAATGTAATAGGTAGAAACCGAACAAAAATATTCAGCAAGATGATCAAAACGCAGTGGGATCGTAGGGATTAAACGGCGGATTAAATTAAACAAATCTATATATATATATATATATATATATATATATATATATACACATATATAAATGCTTTTCTTCCTCACTCATACTAGAGTAGGGTAGAATATATTCCTGTTGCCTTTTATCCCAGTTCACGAACATGTCATTGATATATGAAACAATTTATTTCTTGCATTATGCGCCAAGCGTAGTTCAGTGCTCACGTCTGCATAAGCCACGGTGACACCGCGAACACATAAATGAAAACAGTCTCTAGACACCTTGTATGAGGGCCTCGTCACAATGGTCGTACAACTGCCTGCATACAAGTTCGAAGCACCCACATGCATGAGGGAAACATGCATCCAATAAGCTTCAGGTGTATCCGCAAATAATTGTGTCATCATTTTTACAGTGAACTCGATATGTTTTTGTATGATGCATACAAGGAGTGTGTCTGCGGCTACATTGTGCTACCCAAATGACGGACAGAATCGGTGGAACCTACTTGAGTATGCTGTCTTGAACAACTTTCAGGCGTTCCACGTAGCGGAGGAGGTCGGTTTTCACTAGTTTTTCCATGCTGATGAGATCGGAGAGCGTGGACATTGTCGAGTGGTAGTTTGTCTCGATAATGCCGCTCGATTGTGTCGCCAGGCAGCACAGCAGCACGACCACGCTTGCGAAGTGCCTGCCGGTTTTGTTAGAAATATGTCACGTTGGTATCACAGTCGTAGGGGAGATAGACAGTTGAAATCTTGATCACCTAAAGACAATATTCTTGAACAACGTGAAAATTTTTACAAACATTAAAAGATCACAATAAAAACAAAATCTCGAGTGAACTGACAACAAACGTCGATCCTTTTATCAAAAAAGCATGGTTACTTGTATACCCTAGCCGCACCGCACCTCGGAACACTTGGAGCGAAAGCTCGTCGTCCAGAACTCAGAATTATCCTGAAACCAAAAACTCTGTTTTACCCGGAAAGTCCAGAACCCAGGAATCGTAGTTTCAGTCCCAACCCCTGCCCGTTTCGATCTGTATGAGCATCGTACCGGCGCGCGCTCGAGTGATCGCTACTGCGTGATGCACATTACAGAACCCGGTACTGCACTGGCTTGATCTCTCATCTACAGCGAGTAACAGTTCCAATGCTCTAGTAGAGTGACTATAAGCTACCTAAACACTAACGACTAATTGGTTTTTCGCATGGTACCGAGTTCAACTTGGCCGAGCACTGTTCGAATGTCCCCTTGTACCTAAACAAATTTCAACGGAGCCACTCAAGACGTCTGAGTCACTCACAGCACAGTTCGCCAATGAGGTACTTCTAACCAGACTCTGACACCCCCACCCCTTTCCCCTCCCTAATCTGTTTTCATTTTTTTTATGCGATTTAGTAAGGTATCAGAAGACTGCCCAATCAAAATTTTGGTACGGAGTCACTTATAGTTTTACTAAAAAAAAAAAGAACACACACAAAAAAGAAAAAAAAAAACGCAATTGCTTGAAAACAAAACCGAAATGTGTGCACTCAGGCTCGAATGGGAGTGTGTCCGGAAGTCACGTGTCCATCACTCTGTTCACAGCTTTTTTTTTTTTTTTCGGTTTTTCCGTTACTCGGTCGTGTGCAGCAGACGACGATAGTGAGGATGTTGCTTGAACCGTGTGTTGTGCGATTGTTTCGCACTTAGATCCCTTCCCTTCGCCGTTCTGTGCTTGATGATCGATTGGCCAGTATAACGAACCACAGCCCCGAAGTAGCGGTCCCACGAACGTCGCAACGTTGGTGTGTCGTACGCCGCCATCGCTTCGTCCAGCCTGCGGTACGTCGTCAGATTAAGAGTGGTGTGTATATTTACTTCCTGTGATCTATGCAACAATATTTTTCGATCAACGGTTTTGCAGCTTCTTGGAAGCCACAAGAAGGGGTTCATATTCTTTTCTATTTCTAATATTGAATATATGCCTTAGATGACTAACGACTTTGAATACCTTTGGTATACATTCGTTTGAACTACACGGAACCGTGGAAAAGAGAGTGAGCGCGTCTGAAACTGACCAATTCTCGAACGGCGGATTTTCGGAAGCAAAGATTACGAATTTAGAGCCGCATATTGTGTTCTGGATAGCTGGGCTCTCCATAGGTCATGTTCAAAATGAACAAACAAAAATTCATCGACATGGGTACTCTCTCAGTGTCCCTTTAACTACTTCGCGCATTAAGGTTGGGCAAAAAAACTTTCGAAAATAATCGATAAACCCCAATCATCGCTGCACTTCTTTCTTGCTAGGTAATTGAGGAAAATTCTGAACGCTGCGAACGAGGGCTGGGCTTGGAGCTATATCATTTGCATTGATTACGTCACCTAAGAACTCAATTTATTTGCGCCGCAGTTTACATTTGTTTAGCTTGAACGTAAGTCTGTATTGCCTAGACCTTAGTAGTATTCCCAAAGGAGCGAGTTGTCTAGCTGCGGGGGAAAATGCCGACAATGCCGACGTCCAGTTCATTCTGCAGCGTGCTGCCCAAAGCGTGGAGTGAATGCGATAACCACTATAACAAATGAACAAGCCACAGATGACGGGAATGACTCAAATTTTGAAAGGGAACATACGCAGCTTGAGGAGACAAGGGGAATGGCTCGTGTCGGCGAAGGCTGCTGATAACGGTGTCATGCTGAAGATTTATACTGGAGCGCAAGTAAACTTGCTGCCACCATCCTGAAGCATTAAACTCGTGAAACATAACCTTTGAGTCCAAAGTTCGTGGAGTCATCATCGAGAAGTTTGCGAAGTCATCATCGGGATAGTCCAATCGGTGTGCTCCGTTAACTTTGGCTCAAACTTTGTGTTTGACGAGTAGAGAGCCCCTGGTGACAGCGAACAGTCAGAAACGCAGAGTTGTTGAAATGCACGGCGATTTTGCGACGTTGGAGCGGCGGTGTAATTGCGCACGCAGGAAAGGTGTCCTTGAAAGACGTCTGCAACAACATGGAATTGCTTGTCGAGTCTTTTATTGTGAATAAGTCACCAGCTCCCATTCTCGGTCTTCAAAGAATTGATCTGTTTCTCTTTGTGAATGGGTTTCTGCAAATCCTGCGGCTACTTGAGTACAGTGGCCTTCAATTTTTTTATGTCTTCCGGGGCTTTTTTCGTACAAAGGAGAAACAACATATGGCACTAAGAGACGTAGGAAGGCCAACGGTGCCAGCTTCACGAGTGATTCCTGGAACCTTACGACAGCCACTGAAAAATGAGCTACAACGCATAACCACCGCCAAGATCTTCCAGAAAGTGGACAATCCAACGAACCAGATAAATCCCTTGGTTATTATTAAAAAAAAAAAAAGAAAGACGGCCAGCTCAGAGTATGTTTGAATCCCCGCATCATAAATGAGTGGGTGAAGCAATAGCACGACCAGCTTTGGAAATGAGGACACATTGAGGTAAAGCTAGCTGGGATAAAGTGATTTTCAACACTTGACTTGAATTCCGCGGATTTATAAACTATCATTAGATGCTGATACCGCGAGGGTATGTACAGCTATCGTGTTTGGATGAAATGCGATGAGTGGACAGCGTGGCCGTCAACACATGCTGCTCCTCCTGGAGGCCTTTCGAAACTGATAAAAGTACGGGTTGGATAGTAGGGTATCGCGAGGGTCTGCGTCCTACTGCGATGTGTTTGACGCTTGCCCAGCACAACCCAAGCTTCGACGTTGTGCCGGTTGTGCGCTGGAAGGTCCGCCGTGACAATCACTTACGTTAGCTTGACAGGAGCTACGCGAGAAAGCTCGCTGATTTGCAGCAGGAGCAGGCTGCTTCCGTGGGCGCCTTGAGCGCGCGTCTGTGGAGCATGACCTCAGCATATATCTCCCTCCTAACTTGCGTATTTCATTTTTTCCTCTTAGAGCGCCTTTTTTGTCTCGTATTTCTCAATGCGCACTATTTTGCGAGAGCCATGCACTGTCGGTCCTTGACGAAGACATTTGCATGGTTCTGATTACTGACGTCCATCAAGCCCCACAGATCTTCCGCGCACGACCAAACTGCTTTCACTTCTATTTCGCGCATCTGGCACTTGGGGGTGATCATTTAATGGGTGCGTTAAACAATATCCTGGCTGCTTGCGAAATGGCGTTTGTCAATAGGGACTTTTCGCAAACCGTTCCCGCGTTCTGCGTATCGCACTACCGGAGCCTTTGAAGCATGTTTTAAGCGCGCGCCCGGGTGATACCGTGACCGCGGGGCAAGCGCTTAAAAGCATGCTTCAATGGCTGCAGTAGTGCGGTAAGCGGAATACGGTAACGGTTTGCTGAAAGTTCCCGATAATAACGTTGCGGCTATTTGTAAAAATGTTTGGTGAATGCAGCAGCTGGTGGACCTGGATTTTGGCAATCCCAGCGTCACCTACAAGACAAAAGAATTAGAGGGGACAGATGGGCGAACAGTGCAAGCTGATAGAGAAAAGACTGCCGAGTAATTGACTTTACTTAGGCCTTAGCAGCCGTCCTGGGTCCCCTCTTGTTCTTCTGTTTCGATTGTCGCACAATTACCAATATACTTTTCAAACACAGAAAAGAAGAAATCACAACGCGTAATAAACAAAAAAAAAAAAAAAAAGAAGAAAAGAGACGGTGCAAGTTGGGAGGAAACATGACGCTACAGTTATGCTCCCACCTAATTTCCTTCCAGACTCTTAAGTTACAGTGAAACCCGTTTAGACCGAACCCACGTACAACTAATTATTGTCGATATCGAACTCACAAAAAAATTTAAATAAAAATGCATGTAAAAAGTACTTTTTACAACGAACAATAAATTGGCTATATCGAACTTTTCCCCCGGAAAGGCTTCCAAAAACGCGCAAAAAAAAAACGGCTTCTAGCCTCTCCCTTTCCCCCCCCCCCCCCCAACCAAAAAAAAAAAGGAAAGAAAAAAATTTTAAAAGCTCAAGCCGCGAAAAAAATTGAGTGAAGAGAAGCAGTTCAGAAGGGGAGAAAGCTAAGAAAAACACTCCACGCACGCGCAGAAAAATAAATTCCTCACAAAGCGGTAGCCCGCGAAGAGGAGCGATTCAAAAGAGGAGCTAAGCTAAAAAACAAACCCTGCGCGAACGCAAAAAAAAAAAAAAAGATATCATAAAAGGAATTTTTCGCGGGGTTACAATGCAGAAGCGAAGAGATGAGAAAAAAAAAAAAAAAGTTCTCACCTTACAACGAACGAATCGTGGAGGTTTGTTGTAAGGGATTTTTGCTATATCGAACTATTTGCTATATCGAACTGATCGTGGCGTTTCCTGCTCTTCGTTAAAAATGGGTTTGCCTGTAGTAACGTTCGTGCATCTATTGATTTAAAGGCAAATCACCTGTCTCTGTTTTATTTAGGCCAATTTTAACTTGGTGAGAACATTTTAAACTTGAGTAAAGAGATCTAGTGCTTTCAGACACATGACGACGTTCATGTATGTACATTTTGATCTATATATGATTTCAATATTGCTGCTGCGACTGCCTTAACTCTATTAAGGGGACTGCAGTCTCGTCAAGCAGCTTCGGAAACCTTTAGCTCCTTCCTTCTCGACATTTTCTGGATCTCAAAAGAAACTTAATTCAATCATTCATTCATTCATGCTAGACAGGCACGCGCGCCAAGCAGCTTGCTCCTGCTGCAAACAA